GGTTATTTGAATTTTTCACATAAATTTTGAGGTTATGTGAAAAAAGTGTAAATACAAAAGTTGTAGATCTTTTTATTACCTACAACTTTGCTAATTAACTTTTTTCCATAAGACTTGTAGTTTTTCTGGAAATCAAAGGAAACCGTTTTTTACCCTTAAAAACTCACCCCCTACCCCTTCCCGACCTCAGATCGCCCGTAAATTATTTTTCCTTTCATTTCTGTTATTTTCTCTTTCTTTTCCAATGGGTTTCATCCTACTATAATTTTTTTTATGCGATAAAAGATACAACCTTTTTGTCTCTTTACTTTTTTTGATATCTTGCTTCGTTTTCGAGCTAAAAATTAATATCCTTTCACAGGCACATTCTTAAGGAAAGTAGAAAACAAAAATAGAAATTTAATGCTTTAGTTATTTACTAATCAACTTTAACCATACATTTAAAGGAAAAACAATGTAACAAGCTGAGAAGCAATAACTCACTAAATAATATTTTATTAAATAATTAATATTAACAGAAACATAAGAAAATATATTTAACAAACAGCAATGATATGAAAAATACTTTACATACACAGGCGTTACAACAGTTGTTGAAAATGTCTACCGTTTTTATAAACAAACATACCAAATTTCAAAAAAAAACGGAATTAGGCTTCTCCAGATATTAGTATTTTCTCTAAATTTCAACACCCTGTATCTGCGAAACGAAGCATTTTCGGACATAGGCTTATAGGAACTTTCTTTCTTATTTTTGGTCAAGGAAACTCCCCCTGAATTTTTTCGCAATATTAATGGGACACCCTGTATATGTACTATTTCCTCACACAACGGTTGAGATTAAACGAGTAATAGCCTTAGATAATGGCTAACACTTGATGATCAAAAATTATCTCATAATTGAACCAAAGGAAGATAAAATAAAACAAGCAGGACCTCCAGTTGATCTTAGCGTTAAACATTGAAGAGAGTAGTTCCATTAAGATGTTGGGTAATGACTTTTGGCGTCGAAAAGTGACCTTAGAGTTCAACTAATGGATACAATTCGCGTCTAAAAAAAAAATGAATACCATTATCTTTGTGGGGAACGTTAAACTTTCCACACAACAAACAAATAATGGCAATTCCGAGTAAAACAACCCTTCTGCCTCAAAAAATAAAACACTTACACTTTATTACTTCCAGAACACCAGAACGGAATCGATGGATCACAAAAAAGGTCCACATATTTATGGAACTTGCCTCCTGCCGCAAATTTCAATTTCCAGAGCAGCACCTCTGCTCCCCTTTAAGTTATTCAACTCTGAACTCGGAGTTAGAGCCCCCGTAAACGACAGACAATAGCACGTTAGAGAGACCACAACAATGTATGATCACCGGCCAAGTTTATGCCGAAAGGTCGCTGTTGTAAGCGGTACAGCATTCACCGAAAATTATTCGGGGTATTTTGACGCTTAGCTCTGAACGCATTCCATTAACAAATTGTTAGGCCTCAGTCGCCCCGGCCGAAATATGGAAAGTTCATGTTTTATACGTATTTCATTGTTTTTACTTAGGCTCAATATCGCAGGGTTGAATAAATAAAAAATAAATAAATAAATCCTGTGGAGGTGTCGGGTACAAATATTTAGACCTGAAGGTGGTAGTGTATATCGAAACGTTAACAACATTATCTCGAGAGTAGTCGCAACGGTTTGTCATTGTTCATTGTAAACGATTCCTAATACTGTTAACGCTCAAATTTAGTCATTTTTAGTCGACAGTGCCAATCATGTAATGTTGGTTGCCTAAATTCAGTAGTCATGTGGCTTGTAATCGTTCAGGAAGGCTTAGTAAATATGCTGTCGTTTGAAAAACCATAAAATACATATACAGGGTGGGTCATTAGTGTGAGAAAGTAAAATAACTCCCTTGTTGCTCATAATACAGAAAAAAAGTTTATATAAAAGTTGTACAGAATGAAGAAACCTAAACTACAAAATTAATTTGAAACATACAGAGCGATGAGTAAAAACGGAACACACAAAGGTTACATTTTTTAAATAGAACACCCTATATATTTTTAAATGTATGGATTTCTGAGAAAATTCTATATATGGCAATATAAACAGTTTAACATTTTAGTGCGGGGTTGCCAAGTTATGTAGAAAATTTTTCGAATTTTTGAAAAAACATGACTTCGAAGAAGTTGTATTAACTTTCAACTACTAACACTAGGAGCAAAAATATTTTACGGAGTTATAGACAAATGTTAGGCAAAGACTCCTATATTAGCTAATATCGATTTTTTATACAGGGCATTTTTTAATAATTCGATCATTTTTAGAAAGTTCAAACTTGATTTTCTAAAATTTTTCAAATGAAACACCCTGTATAACAAGATATAACAACATTTCTGGAAAAACTTAATTTTTATTATTTTCGGTCGCACGAAATAGCTTTGGAAAAAACTGTCACACTGTGTGTGTCAACTTGTCAGTTCATAATTTATCAATTAATTTTGAGTTAATTTTATTATTTAATATTTATTTGTGGTATTCTATAAAATAATGGAAATTAAGTTTTTGCAAAAATGTTGCTATATCTTAAAAACCAACAATTTTAGATATAGAATATGATTAATAAAAGTTGAAGTGGACCGATATGTGAATAAAATAGAACAATAAAATAAAGGGTGTTCCATTTGAAAAATTTTAGAAAATCAGGTTTAAACTTTCTAAAAATGATCGTATAAAAAATGTCCTGTTTAAAATATCGATATTAGTTAATGTAGGAGCTTTTGTCTAACATTTGCCTATAACTCTGTCTAATTATTTTGTTCCAAGTGTTAGTAGCTGAAAGTTAATACAACTTCTTTGAAGTGATGTTTTTTCTCAAAATTCAAAGAATTTTCTACATAACTTGGCAACCCCGCACTAAAATGATAAACTGTTTATATTGCCATATATAGAATTTTCTCGGAAATCCATATGTTGAAAAATATACAGGGTGTTCCATTTAAAAAATGTTATATTTGGCGTGTCCCGTTTTTACTCATCGCCCTGTATGTTTCAAATTTTGTAGTTTAGGTTTCTTGATTCTGTACAACTTTTATATATATATATTTTCTGTATTATGAGTAACAAGGGAGTTATTTTACTTTCTCAATTCAGTTAATAATTTATTGCGAAAACCATGTTGCTGAGAGCTAAAGCTCATATGTTTTGATATGTGATCTAATTTGTTCCTTAATGCCTCCAAACACCTTAGCAATGTGTTGGTACCACTGAAATACTGTTTCCTGCAAAATATTTCATAATAGAGTTTAAAAACACCTCAAATTCTCACAGAATCTTTTATAATAATATTTAATTCTTAAAAGTTGTAACTGCTGCAACTGTAATTACTATAAAAGTAAGAAAAATTTAAGGTTTTCATTGAATTGTTCTTCCTAACAATTCCCGTTACACTAAAAAAAGTTTCTTGATCAAAATACTTTTCAATAATCGTAGTGGAATCTACAAAATTCCTATTTGGAAATGAAGTTCTGGGAACAGTAGAGATCATTTTGGCGTAAAAAGTTTTTAATAGTAAATTTTTCGTTAGGGTACTACATTTTAGATTTCTTTCCCGCAATATCATCAGTTAAAAATGATAGATATTAATATTAGAGAAGCCACATAATCCGTTATAAAAAATATTTCAATTGATTTGCAATGTTAACAAAATGGAGAATAAATGGCAGAGAAGCCAAATCGTTATTTTACTCAACGGAATCTTGCTTTTGCCCTTAAAAATATGTTGAATGGCAGTGGCCCCATGACAGAGCCTTGGGGAATACCTGACCTCACTTTAAATATGAAACTGCTTTGTTTAACCACCTGATAGGTCTGTCTGAAAGTTAATACTTTATCCAAATATATGAAGTGTATGCATTGAGATACTATAATTGACTCTACACAGTGAAAAAAAATGGGAAGATTGTTCAAAACTTATTCCCGCTGTGGCACACCCTATTTTTTTGTAAAATTTTATTTAGCCAAATTCAAATCTTTACTGTTCTCCACATACACACACCCTGTATATTATATTTAAAAAATATTACGATAAAGGTGTCTTGTAATTGATATTTTATTGCAAATCTTGCAACAATTGACCTTCTTTTAAATTAAATGGAATTAACGAACATTTAAAATGTAATTTACAAGTAAATGGTTTCGAAACAGACCTGATATATCTACAACTGAATTGTAATTATCGTTTTTCTATTCGCCGAGTTACAGAAAAACTGCTGTGACATACAAATTCCGTCTAGTATTGACTTCGACAGAAAAAGAAAAAAAATACGAGGCAAATCTCAATCATTTATTTTCATTTGGTCCAAATCACCAGTTTGTAACAAATAATAGCTATGTTAGAGTCGTATCCAATGTACAAAAACAGAAAAGCAAGAGTTTAAATTTTAGTACATATTTACATCTTAAATCTACGTAAGGAGTGATATGAACACAACATATATCCATAGTCATTTGCGCTATAACTTCTTTTTTCAGTCGTTACACAGGCAGTATACATAATGGTAGAGCAAATAATGTATAAACGACTATTTACTCTAGAGTAGCAACAGCTTGAAATGAAATGATAAGGATGAATGGAAATTGTATTTAATTAAGTAAAGTGGACTATAATTCTACAATGAGCGACTGTATGTACATGCTTGACGAATATATCAATTACTTTATTATGTACAAAGCATTTAGAGTTGATAAATTAAAGCAATAACGAGTTTATTCACATAAACTGTAATTAATAATGCTTAGGTATTTTTAAAAGCTTTGTCCACTTTACGATGAAAACGAGTACTTCTGACAGTCCCCTTTACAAGGTATCTGCTATCACTTAAAGCGTTCTTAGGCCTATAAGGAAACACCAAAAATCTATTTACAATAATAAGCGAAGCTGAACGTCAGTTGGAGTGGGTAAGACAATAGTATGAATAAATAGGAATTAAAAACGATTATGGCGTTGAAGAAACCCCGAGTTTTTTTCTGGAATTGAAGAAAAATAATGAAATGTGTCCTGATAAAATATAGAACAAGGAAGCAGCACACTTTTAGTAATTTCTAGATTTTATTAATTCATACTTTGTCACCCTTGTATAATTATGTCCGTCTGTCGTAGAATACAAACAGTATAATTATTTTTTTACAAAAAAAAAAACTATAAATATATTCCATCGCAATGTGCAGCCCTATGTAAACAAATTAGGATTTAATGGAGCCAGTAATATTTAATAAAATGAATTATTGGTAGAATTCATTGGATATAGGTATAATTACACATTTTCCCGATACACCAGGCCTGAATTTCATAACATTTTAATAAATTCTGGTAGTAATTGGTAAATTAACTGTAATTCATCGTATACCTGTAGTACGTTGGGACAGCGTTTTGGTATTATACTAATAAATGTAACAGGGCGCAATTGCCTCCTTTATAAATGTTAAATTTGCTAAATTATTTATAAAATTTGGTTATTCATGAATGATCTCTAATTTAACGTTTCATTCGTGTATATGTAATTCTTTAAGGATAACATGCTTGTTTTCGAATTAACTTTCCAATTACAAGCGTTGCCAATTATCAATAAACAAAAATTCGTCGTATTCTAAAGCGCAGTCATGGCCAACTATTCAGTTTCAATAATACGATCAAAAATTACCTAAACACACGGAATGATGCACATTTAATCAAAACAAATGACTGATTTGTGCATTCGGCAATCGAGTTAAACGCGCAAAATTACGTTTGATTGGTGTTTATCGATAATAAAACCAACACTGCATTGAATTTAGGTTTTAATGGAGTGGGGGCAGGACTCAAATAAAAAAAAATAATGAAATATGTACGTATAAAATGAAGGAAAGAATCAAAGGCAGATACCAGGTATTTGCATTTGAATGGGTCCAAGGGACCATGATTTATCAATTAGAGCCATTGTTTTGTCTTACCATGTTCAATTTCAAAGAAAAAATGAAAAAGAAACTTCTCATACTAATTAGATTACTTCGTATCCCTTTCTCAAGTTGTTTTGAGTTTGATACGTAGTTTTTACATTGATTTATTGTCATTATTTTGCTTTAAACCGGGTTTTCTTACTTTGATTAAATTCTAGAATTTTATTCTACATTTTGACCATATTTTCCTTAAGAATAGGGCTGCAAATTGTTGCTATTCAACAAGTACATCTCCTAAACAATCCTTAAAGTTTTCTATAAGAGAACGTTCTAACACCTAGTTTGCTCTTAAGATTAAATTTATAGAAATCCATAATAACATACTCATAATTTGGGTTTCAGTTAATAGCAAAGATACATGGGTAAAAAGGCACCAAGCAGGCTTGTAAGCATTTTAAAATCTACAAATACCGATACAGTTCCAAAGAGCCCTTGACAATTACAGATTATCCAGTTGAGCAAACAACTTACAGTTACATTTCAGTACAAAAAGGGATCTCTAAAGGTTGAATCACACTGGTGGATCTCTCAAGGCCTACTAGAAATGTAGACCTCCACTTATAAAAAAGAGACGAAGGGAAAAGCATCAGCGTGATTCAGCCTTAATTAATAAGAAGACCTACTTATTCATCTACCATCTACAATTCGTTTAAAAACAGGTTCCATACTGGTACGTAGCAGATAACAGGTGTTAATTTATATATTTATATTTCAGAACAATCCATATAATAGTATCACTATAATTTACACATTTAGAATTATAACTGACCTAACCTCCACACAGTAAAAAACATTCGAACGACATTCCACTTTCGGTATTCGTGTAACCATCGTCAGATTACATATGGCAATTATAAAATTATCTGCAGCCGTTGTCACTTTTTCACTGTGTAGAGGTGGAAAATATCACGCAATTCATTCATTTTATTGTCGATAAAGGACATCATCAGTAGATGTCAGTGGAGGTCGGGGTTGTACCCCAGGTTCTTCCTCTGGAGGAACAAGTGTATCTCACGGAAGTTCGGCCTGTCGGATTCGTTTCTCTGCCAGCATTCACACATGAGATCGAAGATTTCTTTGGGGCAGTTGATTGGAGCGCTGAGCAGCATCTGCAAAGATTAATTGTATAAAAAATGAAGATAAAACTTGGTAATCGGCACAAACGACCTTTGTGTATATATAAATTGCGTACAGTAACGTTTTTGATAGACGTTGTGTATATTTTGTCGGTTCGGGAGGGATTAACCCAACTTTTTCCTCTAAGCTACCGAAAAGCTGTAAAAAAAATTGCCCGACCAACTCGCAACATACCGAATCCCCCCCGGTTTAATAAATACACACCAGCGATTTTTATGTCACTCAAACGCCGTGGATAATGGACTGCGTAATTCAATTTTACAGCTGAATCAACTAGATTAGATTTAATATGCGCGGGACAAAAAATAAATAGAGCGAACCAGCGTGCGCCTGTTGATAACAATTAAAATATGGCCCCTACATTGTACCACTGTTTTTAATGGAATATTCGGTTGACTATTATTTATTACCACACAGCAGTCGCATGGATTATGTATCTATAGACAGAAAATACTTTTTTTTTTTGTGGAAGTAATGGCAGTTACACACAGAACGATAAGTCGTAGCGACGCAACTACAAAAATCGATACAATTTATTCCATCCACATGACAGTTACCTGTACAGACGTAGTTGGATTAATATCGATTGCGTGAGAACACTGACCGATATTTGCATACAAAATGATCTGTGGTTGGGATATAGAAGAATTAATCTACGGATTCCATAACGGGCATATTGGAAACGCAAACAATAGTGGATACACACATTCCTGTTTGCTTTAACATATTTTAGGCCCAAACAAATTTGCTTAGGATATACGAGGGGGCCCGGCGTACACTTTGCTTACCTGGAAATGTACATAGGTCGTTCGGGATCGCGAATGGCCGTGTTGAATTTAGATAACGACCAAAAGTGCTGGAAAGGAGCCGGAATTATTGTAGTTGCAAAAAATTTAAATATTAGTCCAGTGGGCAGGGTTTAGAGGTCTATAAACCTTATTTTTTTTAGAAATGAATGGAGATATGTTACAAAACAGCACATTAAAATCGTTATAGACAAGGGCGGATTTGTTTTGAGGTGGATGTGCGAAAGGGCAAGCAAATTTTTTCTGGATTACCTTCAGTGTAACTCACATAATAAAAGTGTAGATCCCAAGATCTGGGCGAGGTCCGGAACATTTTCAAAATTGCAAAAATTTAAAAAACCTATTTTATCTGAGTTTTTTACTTACATCTTGGAACCTATGCATTTTGGAAGAATATTGAAGAGGAAAAAAGTTTTAGAATTGAATTTTGCACAATATACTTCTAAGTCAAAAATGTTTAAATTTATTACCGATGTTGCAAAATAGCAATAATTGATAAAAAAAGGCAAAATAATCAAATATTTTGGATATTTTTGTGGTAAAAAAAAACTTTAGAGTATAATAAAACAACAGATCAAATTTCATTAAAATTGGTTCAATAGTTTTCGCAAAATAATTTTTTGAACAAAATTTTGAAAAAATAATTTCGAATTTTCAAAATGATTCACAGTCTCAAATAAAGCACTAGATACTTGAAAAAATTTTTCACATAGAAAAGACCGCTCAACCTTTCAAATGGTTTTTGAAAAATTGAAATCGGTTGGTTAGGATGGCCACAGTAAATTTTTAAAGTTAACACTTTTTTTATTTTTATAAAATTAGATTACATTTATCAATTTGCAATTTAGTTCTTTTCAAAAATTATAATTTTAAAATAATATTTTCTCTTAATTTTTTCTGTATTTAACAAAAAAATTAATTTCCAAAAAAAAAATAATTTGTTTAAACAAAAATTATTTAAATAATTGTAATAATTATAACTAAATACATTCATATTCAGAGTGCTGAAATATATAAGTAAACAAATTTTTTCATGGAAAAAATGCAAGAGCAGGGTTAAAATATACTTTATTTAGAACAAAATACCTGGGATATCGCGAGATATCGGATTTAAAAAAAAAGAGCGAAATTGGTCCATTAGAAGCCGAGATTTTAATGAAATTTGGTGTGTTGTTTTATTATATTCTAAATTTTTTTTACCAAAATTAGAATGCTTTCGGAGTAATTAAAATATTTTTAAACAATTATCCAAAAAACTTGATTATTTTGCCTTTTTTTTCAACAATTATTGCTATTTTGCAACATCGGTAATAAATTTAAACATTTTTGACTTATAAGTATATTGTGTAACAAACAATTCTAAAACTTTTTTCCTCTTCAATATTCTTCCAAAATCCATAAGTTCCAAGATATCGATCGATAAAAATTAATCAAACATTATAAAAATACTCCGTATGTCAAGTATAATAAGTTCTCGAAAGCAGAATTTGACGGTAAAAACAAATAAAAAAAAATTGCGACGTAAATTGTTAATAACATTTTTTCCTCACTATGCTTATGCATTTTAATATATTCTATAACATAATTGTAGCAAATGTGTAAAAAATGTTGATGTTGTGGAAAAAGACCACAATCACGATGTTTTGAGCCCCCTTGACTGGATTATATCTTCGAGAGTTGAATTTAATTTATGGTTCTGTGTAGGATGTAAACGATGTTTGAGATAATCTATTTGTAGATTTTATTATATTTACTTCAGTTGATTTGAATCTCTAAATACGTATAAACTCATTGTGATAATTATTATTAATACTGTTTTTACAAAGATATACCAACTATGTAACTATTATCCATATTATGGATCACCAAACTCTTTAGGTAAATTTCATTTGGTTAAATAAATACACAAACGGTTTTACGCTTCAAATAAACTAAAAACATTTACAGTTTAAAATGGAATATTCATAATTGCAATACTGTAATTATTCTTTTGTAACGTTTTTTACATGAGTGAATATATTAATGTATGAAACGCAGCAATGAAAACTACTAATGCGAGTGGACGAAATAAATTTTCGACAATGAAACTAGTCGTTTTTGATTCTAGATTGCGAAATACTTATCGCTTTTGCACACACTCTTATAACTCTCTATTTTATGGCCCGCCAGAAGTCCTGATTTGAGTCCACGTAGTTTTTTCTACACAGGACTCTGAAAGATAAAGTAAACAAAGAATGACTTATATCATGTACGTTATGACCTAATATTATAATTATTATTATATGTACGTATTACTGCAATCAGAAAGAACAGGGAATTACAAAAAACAATAAATATGTATTTTTTAATTGTCCTCTGGTTACAAAATAAACAAGCAGAACTACAACAAAACACAACCAGCACTGTCATTAGATAAAATTAACACTGTGTGACAAGTATCTACCAAATCCACCACATCCACAGCTCACCTATTGAATTACTAATGGCTATGGCCCACGGAGCCTTCTTCTCTTGTTTATTTAAGCCCTAGCTTATACGATTTTAGTGCATTGGCTTCTCAATTTGCTTCCCATTCATAGCCACCCTTCCTAATCCGGAATACTTAACCTTGTATAGTGTTCACTCATCCGATTTAGGTGTAGGACAAGTTGCCTTGGGTTGCCCTTGCACGGAAAACGTCAACAATAGCCGGATTTAAGCCCTAAGTTGTTCGATAGGGAACTTGCTTTGAATGCTAATGTAGCACAGACAAATCGACGACGGTTACAATGAACCTATTTAGAAGTGAATCGGTCATTGATTTCTGACTCTATTCTCTAAATGTCGTGTACTTTAATTGCTTTATTTTCAATATTCAATGACATGTCAATGTTTTTATTTAAATTTTTTATGCATAAATCTGTCTACATTACAATATATTTAGAAATATTATTATAATTTAGCAATTTTCTTGGTCGAAAGATTAATCTCGAGAGTAGAAACGTTGCTCTGTCCCCTACCCTGGCAGTAACGTTACGGCTACGTTATTGCATTTTCCACTTCTGAGCGTCAGCGGAGATTTCTAGAGAAACGCCTGGAATAGAGCCATCAACTTGGCCGGACAGCAAGCGCAGACATATCTATCCAATATTAAAGGCGTACTCACGTGCTTCCCGTCGTTCTGGTAGAAATGAGTGACGTTCTCTACGACTCCGTCGTCGTTCAGCTCCTCGAAAGGCTGTTCCCTGGCGAAAGTCAGGATCTCCCACAGCAGAACGGCGAACGACCACACGTCGCTCTTACTTGAATACTTGCCCTGGAATCAAATTACAAGGTTATAGTAAATTACCTTCCTGAAGTGCAGCTGAGGATGTTGCCTTTGTGTTTCTCTTGCTTATCGTATCGTCAAGGAAGCGTATTGCTTGTGTCGTAAATTACGTGTATTAAGAATTAATGAAAAATGTATATTTTGGCTCGGCTACATTTTTAAGATACGCCGTCGCTGATGACGAGCATTCATACGATGCAAGTAACACTGGTATTCCCATCCCCTGCCGCATTTAGGAAAACATCGTGAAATTAATATTCGTAAAACGAAGATGTATACTTACCAAGAGGACTGTCTCCCACGCCATCCACCTGAGGGGCAAAGGTCGCGACCCCGCTATTCGACAGTAATCTGAACTGTACATCTGCCGATACGAACCCAGATCGGAGACCTTGATTTCGTACCTGCGGCCCACCAGGCAATTCCTGCAACGGGGATGTTTTAAAAATACATATACAGGGTGATCTAAAGTTAAGTAGCTGCATCTAAAGCTACTTTAGGTTAGCTTTGTACTTCTGCTTCGAATTTTTCTAGATATTTCAACGTATCTTGAAATGGTCAAAATGTTATTTAGTGTTTACATTTTTTGGGCTCTTTTTGGAAACAAATAAGTAATTTAGAACTGATTTTGTTCAAATTCTAGCCTATTTGTTTATTTAGTTTCGGGACGACCCTGCGTCATTATTGTCCGCCTCGAGCCTCGCTATTTTCGAGGAACATCCTGCGAGCGCCTCAACTTTCTCGACAGCACTCTTCTGAATGTCAACCCCTTCCCTGGCGCCCTGCGCCGCCCTCGCGCCCCATCTTGAGCCCGTTAAGGCGTCCGTTGCGTTTCCCGTCACGTCGCCAAAATTGTGTTTGCCACTTGCTCACGGCGTAGACTAATTAAATTCGCTGGAAAATTGGGCCATTTCGTTTCCCTTCAAACGTCCCGACAGGCTGCCGCATTGTTTATGCTCATAAATATGTAGTCGTTTAACGCGAAACGAATGGGCCGGGATTGGGGCAATATCGGGAATTATGGGGGCCGTATTTTACGACGCTCGGAAACAGCCAGCGGGCCCTGGTCGTTAGGGCATCGACGTTGGGCGCCGTATCTCGCGAAAATACAGAGCTATCCGCCATTTGGAGGTGACTTTGGGTGTAACCAAGCCAACTACTGCGCTCAAAAATTAGCGAGCAAGGTAAATTACATTGAAAAGATACTCTTGTCGATAGGATGTGTTTATATTTCAAGAAAATTGAAAAATATTATTTTAAAACACTCTTATATATCGCAATTGAAGCGCTTTTGGACATAAATTGTTGACACGAATTTTTTTTAATACTTTCGATGGCATTGAAACCATATAATAGTTATAAAATTGATTTTAATCGTATATTCACTCATAAATCACTGATACACATATTTTTCCATGTAAAACTAACACCTATAAAGACATAATAGACCAATAATTTACCGCCGATATCGATACATCCTTTTACAGCAAAACATGGCTATATTTTTTACCTTTAGGACAATTTTTTTATCATTTTATCACATCCAGTCATTCCGCAACATTGAACAACAAAAAAATTAAGCACGATCTTTAAAAAACAAACAGAAATAAACACATAACTGCGAACTATAAAGAAGTTATTAAACTATTCATTACAAATCTGGATCTAGTATCTCTAATACAACTGTAACACATGTTTTACATAAAGCAAATAAAGCTGGAGATGTAGCCGTGGAGAAAATGACAACTTGCAAAGGCAAGCTGAGGCGGGGTTGTCTCGCCCAAGCTTGCTAAAGTTTTAGACAGGTTTGCATATAGTTTGCATGTACAAAGCTACTCGTATAGTTTGGATACATATTACTATTATGCACTGTATTTGTCGGAGAGAAAAAAAGGCACAAATTCAGTTGGGGAACTCACGGAATAAGCCTTAAAACCCTTTAGAAAAGACCAGAAAATGATGGAAATGTAATCCTCGTCTTATGTCATACGTTATTTTTTTTACCTCACCAATATTTGCATTTTTTTTTTCAAATCTTAGTGTTATATTTAACTATTTTCAGCCTGTGTGCCACAGACCCTTCCATTCCCGAACATATTTGCCTGAACTTTCCTAACGGAATTTGAGTAAAATGCGTTCTCTCGCTGGAGGAGAGCTTCTCCAATATTTGCTCAACTTACCTAGCCGCCAGGTCCTTGTGCACGTATCTGAGCGACTCCAAGTACTTCATCCCCGAAGCTATTTGGGTAGCCATATAAATAAGGCATCCGTAGCTGAAAGAGAATGTCAGAAGTACAGTTTAAACAAAGTAGGCTAATTGCGATTTTACCGGCGCTAAGTCTGTCTCGTTCTATTAACCCCTTTCCGAACTCCCACTAGTCTAGCGTAGCCGCGAGCGTCCCAGCAATACTAAGCGTAGATTCAGATAGATGGCAAGTTCGGAATGGGGTTTGTTTTACCGAGAGATGCTTATACGTACGTTTGTTTGAAGGGGTTCTCGATCTAACCTACCGATATTACATAATTTACAGCAAAGTCAGAAAGCTCTGCTGTCAGCAGCAGAAAGGCTGCAGAGTTTAATTTACCTCCGGAAAAAAAAAACGATGCTGCAGGTAATAAACTAAAGCAAATTGATTAACTAGAAACTACATACAGGTCTAGACAGTTTTGTTTAAACTTGTTTTGTTGGAGAAAGGTTCATTCCCGATATAGTTGAAGTTGAAAAAATAAAAATAACTTCCCGCTACATCTCGGAAACAATTTTCTCGGACATTCCGTGTCTATAAGAAAGCTATGTATCCACTTAAAACAACATTCAAACCTTAAGGTGCTAGCGTTCGGCGCCAAAGGAGTGGCACTCTCAGCGACGTGGTCCTGCAGGAACTGACACAAGTCTCCCAGAGGCCCGTACTCCCTCACAGCGCAGATAGGCTCAGAATCCAGGCAGGCTCCCAGCAATCGCGAGATATTCCCGTCCTTCAGCCTGCCCAACGCTTTCACCTCCCTTCCGAATTCTTCCCTGAAGGACTCCGTCCTCAGGGTATGCACCACCACAAATTTGGAATCGGAGAAGGCGTTTCCAGGAGTAGTCATCACCTCGCAGAGGTGTACGTCGCCGAAATGGCCCTCGCCCACTTTCTCGATGATCCTGAGCTTGTCCCTAGGGAACTCCTTAATGGGACACTCGTCTTCGAAGGCGTCTTCATCGGCGTCTGGTTCTGGGCTCAGTGGAAGCATGAAGTGATTACTGAACTTGGACCTAGAAGCAACAATTTTTATGTCGTTGGAAGAATTATTGAAAGAATTGAATAAATAGACCATACTGCTGATCTACACCTTCGAAGAGTATCACAAACATAAATTGGTTTGAAAGTAAAGTCAGTAATAATTTTTTGGATGAAACACTTTAAAAAATTAGAAACGACACAATCATACATCATGTATTCTATTAGCTGCGAATTGCGAAGCCTCATCTGGCGATACCCTAATTTACAGTTGCTTCAACTCAAGTGGTGCCCGCACCGTATAGGAGCAAAAAAGTAAATCGATTCCCCAGAATTAAACAAGCGCTGTAATCTTTCTCCGCTAGCATTCCCAAAAGTTATATACGTTCTTTAAAACCGTCGGGCAGTCTCCCTCAATTTGCTAATTCCCGCTACACTGGAACTTCACTTAACTGGAAACAGTGGCTGGAATAGAGAACTTTAAAAACTTTTGTACAAGCAGCCGATATAACTTAGGAGATTAAGATCAAATGCTTCGGTTGGCATCGATAAATTTCTAACAAAGCTGCGAGTTGCAGTTCCTATAAATTCTTTAATTATTTAAGTAGCTTTCCTTCTAAAATGTTTCCTTATTTCTAGATAAGTTAGAACTAGACTGCAGCTAAGAGCATGGCGATGCATTTTCAATAAAGGCCTAATGAATTAATATTTTATACGATGGGTGATCAAAACGGTTATGTTTCTTTAACAACCATTCAAAAAAATGAATTCTTGGACATGAAAGGAATGCATATTATTCTTTTGGATAAGTTGTATAGAATATAACTTTTGCAAACGCCTTATCTATCCCTCCTTTTGGAAACCCAACCCTTAGAAAGATTCCATGCCATTTAAACTTAAGAAACCCGAGAAACAAAATATATATATTCAAAATCCAAACCGGCAGTATCTGATCAGTTATATTGGTGCTTATGCATCAGCTCCATCACTCACCTGCTCAGCACAGCTGACGGAGGTGACAGTGGAGGTGAGGGAGGTAACGGCAGAGGGTCGCACATGTCCCGCTGCATGTAGTAACCTTCCGGGGGCGGAGGTACCGGCGGCGGCTTGGGCAGGAAGTTGACTATCGGTGGCGGCGCTCGCGTCGACTGCGAGAATCCTTGGTCGGCCGTCGCGATGTTTAGCTGGTGTGCGGCCACAGAGTACTCTTGGCAGACGAGGTCGGGCACTTCTGGAAAAAATCGGTGATCAGAAATACACATAAGGAGGCGGAGAAGGCTGCGGAGAAAGTTGGAGAAACAAACTTGAAGAAGGAAAACAGAATATTCACGTCGGAAACCTTAGAAGATGTGAAAACTATAGTGAAGAAGAGTTCGAGAGACCTTCGAGTTGCGTCTTTGATACGATTTGAAGAAAAAATTGGAGAAAAATATTCAGAATGGAAAAATAAAGAGGAATAAATCACTAGATATATGAAGACGGGTCAAAAAATTTCAAGAACACATTTGACAGAAATTATATCTTTAAGTAATAGACTGTTGTTGTCTTTGGCTTCTTTTGAAAATTTTGTTGTTTCATCGGTTTCTTCAGAAGATATCCAAACCTAGATTTTCTGTTGTTGATTCTTAATGTTAGACGAACTACTGATGCGTTTATTTGAAGAAGAAATTCAAGAAAAATCTTGAAGAAAATGGGAAAATAAATACATACTATTTAAATATGTGGTAGAAATGTGGAGGAAAGTGAAAGAGCTCAAAGAACATTAAGCATTTATTCCTTTTGCATCAGACTGATATTGGTAATTTTATTTTTTAAGTTTTTATGAAGTGGTATTTACAAGGGACATCTGAAAATGTATATACGAGCACTAGCGACAAATCTGTAACCTTTTATTTCGGCTTCCCCAGAGTTTGGAGTTTCTAGCTATAATGACAGTAATAACACTTACCGGAGTAATCCGGACTTGTAGGGTGGATCGCCGGAGCCCGAGAGTAGAGGCTCGGCCTGCAGGATTCCACGTATAGGGTGGCTTTATCCCCCACATCATCCATTGTCATCTAAAAGAAGTTGAAGCGAAAGTTTATACAAAAAAATTTAGAAGGTGAAGAAAAGTTCTTATATTCTAGATGAGTCAGTTTTAGAAATACGTATTTGTAAAATATTCTATAGCACTTGATACACCTACAAAGAACACGTGCTTTATACAACATTATCTGCCACCAATAGCCGGCTTCTTATCTCCGCAAAATGTCACGGTGTGTTAATTTCCGGTGGAAGTGGCGGATTCCCGCTGCAACACCATTAAGATAACCCAATGGCCAGGTTAGGAGTCGCTTCTCCTCTTTATGCACAATCTTATCTGCGAATGTGTATTAAGATGCTTCGCGCGCTATAAACCAGATTAGAACCGCGGAAAATGGATATTATTTAGTGTTTCGATTAGCGGAATAGGAAACGTTAACAAGTGAGTAATGGCTGCTACAAGCCCAAGAACTATAGTTTAGGCTTTGATTTACCGGAAACTATTACTTAAAAGACACTAGAACCTGTAGAATTCGTAATTCTAGCAACTGTGTGAGTATTAACGCAGCATTTCGATAAAACTGTTGAGATTTGGTGTTTTGAAAATAAAATTGTCTAAAATTATGCAAAAATATCTGTGAAATTTCTAGCAATAAACCAGTGTTTTACATTTTCGTTTCTTAAGACTTTCATTGTGAAGTTATCCTAAATGGGGGAACTATATTTCCAATAAAAACATGACTTTTCTTTGCAGGCAGACGTGAGCTAGAAAGCTTATTAAAAATATACCATTTTATGCAATAAGACCTAAGCGCTTGTTATTCCACTGGGGGTTTATTTATTTTTAGAATCACGGATATACAGTTACGATTATTTTTACAACTGTATAAATTTAATTCAATCCAGACTTCGCTATTTTATTTATATGGATGAACTGCAGTTATTCATTTAAGCACAGTTTTATTGGTAGGAGCTGAATTAGTTTGTTTTTGAAAACCTATTTATAGGAATTCAATCAACGTTGGACTAGAGTAAAGGTTGTCTAAATATTTTCATCTCGTTAAATAAAATATTTGTTTTCGTTTACGATCGTAGGTCTCTATATTTGTTTTTCATTTCTTAAGTTCGATAGTGCTCTATTCTATTAAGAACATTAAATTTTCACATTGTCAGGCTTAAGTAGCTCTATTAGAACCTTAAAAAAGTCCCACAAAGAAGTGCGTATTTCTAAGACAAAAATAGCTAAAAATTATATAAATTTTGGTCTGAAATTGTTTGTAATAATTAAAATTTTTTTTTGTATAAATGCATAATTACAGCTACTACTATTTCTCTGTATTAATATCTACATTTAGTACCTTCCAGAACTATGCTAATATTCTTAATTACCAGTAGCATAGACATTCGGGGTCAGCCCCTTTTTTTAAACGTAAGGCCTATGAGTTTAAGAAAATATATTTAAATATTCAAATTTTCCTATTTTCTAAGATATTACAGCAAAGGACAGGACACAACTAATACTGTTGAAAATGTTATCACCGCTGTTCTTGGTGGTGAAAATTCGAAATATTTGGAATTATTCAATTTTCGTAGTTGAAAACATACATAGGTATTTTATTTTCGAAACCGAGAGAGTTGCACTAATAAAATTTGCACGGAACATAGCTAATACAATGCGGAACATCGCTTTAATGTTGAAAATGTTGTCACAGGCGTTCTTGGTGGTGAAAATTCGAAGTATTTGGAATTATTCAATTTTCGTGACTGAAAACATACAGGTATTGAATTTTCGAAACAGATACTAACCAAATTTGGACAGGACATAGCTAGTACAATGCGAAACATCGCCTTACTGTTAAAAATGTTGTCACCTCCGTTCTTGGTGGTGAAAATTCAAAATATTTGGAATTATTTAATTTTCGTGGTTGAAAACATACACTGGTATTTATTTTCGTAACGGAGAGAGTTGCACTGATCAAATTTGCACAGGACATAGCTAATACAATGCGGAACATCGGCTTAATGTTGAAAATGTTGTCACAGGCGTTAGATGCACTAACCATAAACATGTANGAAACCGAGAGAGTTTCACTAATAAAATTTGCACAGGACATAGCTAATACAATGCGGAACATCGCCTTAATGTTGAAAATGTTGTCACAGGCGTTAGATGCACTAACCATAAACATGTACTTTTTTGCTTTACGATAAGAATTTTAATTTACTGTTTAACATACATTGTTGTGACATTAATGAAATTAATAGTAATTCGACTAACTGTAAGAATCCTCCCTTTATTTCCTAGGAGGACTCAAATATTAAGTACCTCAGGGTACTGTTTCGAGGCCCTTTATTTTCCAACTATTTATAAATGATATTTCAAAATATTTAAATGAAAATTTGGCACGATACTGATATGTAAAGACGTAGAATACGTCAAAATAATTTGGGTACAGCAGAAAACGTAGTACATAAAGTAAATTTGCAATACAAAACAGATACTTTGTTATCACTTACTGCAGCAAATAGGTACCTTTTCTTGCGACTTTGCTATTTTAGCCATCTAAGTTTAAGGTAAGCAAAATTTAATAAATTTCGTCTCAGGTGGGTATTACTCCGATAAAAGTTTTTCATCAATATCAACTTATCTTACATATCGCGCCGGGTAATACCCTAACATCGGCGTGTGCTTAGTACACACGGCAGCGTAATTCCAGCAAATTAATTTTCACTTTAAATTAAGCTCCTACGAGTAGCAAACGCGATCAGCACGTTATATAGTTGACGGCGGGTATATTTGTGTTTATTAATTTCGGGGATTACGTTAACTTGACGAAGCCGGCCGCTTCATCCAATATTCCGCCTCAGCGATTTGGGTAGAGGGCGGTGGGATCGCCGGGATTTGGCCGGATATGTGTGGGATTTGCTGTATCGCAAAAACTGCTCTTGGATTAGAGCCTACGAATTAATAAGGGGGTATCAGAGTTATTTGGCGCGCTTTTGGACGGCGTTTTGCAAAAAGTCGAATTAAATTTGTTTAAATGTGGGTTTGCGGGAGGCGTTTTTCCGGAGGCCCGTTCGGGACCTGATCAGGGCTCTCTGTTGGTGCAGGATTAATTCTAATCTAGAACGAGCAGAGGTTTTACGAACAGAACCTTTAGAGTTTCTAGACAATATAGTCCAGTTACTCAGGGTTTCTACCTCCGAATTCTTTATAACTGAACCGATTGACGTGAAATTTTGACTGAATGTGGGGAATGCCTCAAGGAACAAAACTTATATAGTGCCGAAGTGTGCTTTTGCCCTGGGGGTGGTTCCCACCCCTTCTTGTGGGTGGAAATTTTTACGCCCAAAATAACCAAAGGAATCGATAGGGGAGTCAATATTAAGTAACAAATGTCATATAAAGTTTTTTGGATAATCCAATACATTCCGAGTAATTCGTCATTGAAAAATGTTGATTTTTTACTGAAAAAGTGCTTGTTTTCGGACAGTTTCTTGCAAATAACTCTGAAACCAATGGATTTAACGAAAAAGTTGTAATGAACAAAAAGAAAGGTAATAAAAAACAAATCTAAAGGCATGATTTTGTTTTTCTCTAATTGCAATATGAACTGAGTTATGGATTTTTAAACATTATTATATGTTACCTAAAGACCAAATTGGATCCAGCTAACGTTAAATATCGCCAAAACCATAAATATTAGGAAAAAAAACTATCTGAACCTTTTTTAAAGTACTTTGAAAAACCTTTAAAATGAGCTGTTTTAAAAGTCTTTAGAATCAAAATTAACGGAAATATGGTCGAAATAACATGATAGTCTTATTTTTTTTTAAGAAAAAAGTAATAAACAAATCAGTGCCTTTGGCGACAGAATTAAAATTAAATGTAATCCATTTACAGATTTCTTCATTTATGTTCTAAGAATATGTTCTGGGTCTTTGGCTCACTTACAAAGCATGATTTCGTAAAAAACTTAATTTTTGAAAATATTAATTATTTAAAAAAAATCGATTTTTATGCTGTAACTTAAAAATTAAAGAGTGTACGAAAAATATACAATAGTAAAATAATTTAGCTTTATTTTCTCTGAAGATTTTGCTTTTTTTTATTCCTCTAAAATTAATATTAATCGAGATATCGCCATTTTTAGTTATCATATGAATGAGAGAACCACCCTTTTCGAGCCCTTTAAACCCTTCAAACTTAAAAATGAAGGGCTTAAAAAAGATCAATTCAACAGTTCACGTAGCCCTTACAATTCCCTGCAAAATGAGCCTTTGTGCGATTAAAAATCTTAATAAATTAAGAAAGTTATCGTCAAAAAAATAAACACGTACCTATATAGGTGATAATTTTAGGAAAATGTTGGTCATACAAGAATTTTGAAGCATTTAGATCTTTTTTGTATGTATATACGTATTTAGTATGTGTATATTCGAATAAACCAGTACTATATTATAATACACACTATACTACACACACGTACATACACCACACAATAATAATAATAATAAGAGAATAGCAGTGACAACGAATAATCATTTACAAATAATTATAATGTTTTTTTGTATTTATTATTATTAAAGAGGAAAATAAAAGTTTATAAATGTAAGGGGTAATTTTTAAGGGTTGAAAAGTTGCAATCAATTCAAAATGATTTTATAAGAAGGGAATAAATGTTTATTTAATACGAATGCACATTTAAAATGGTTCTAGTCTTTCAATAATATTTTTTCATTTTATTTACGAAACAAGGGGTATTTTTCAAGGGTTGAAAAGTTGCAATCGATAAAAAAGATTTTTTAATCAAGAAATCAATTTTAATTTAATAAAAATGCATGATTAAAACGTTTCAAGTTGAAAAATTTTTTTTATATTATTTTCATCCAATGGGTGGTTTTTAAAGGTTTTGCTGGGTTGAAAATTTGGGATACATTAATTTTCATGTTAGGTAGCACATCAAATTACTCATACTGCATAAATAAAAAGGATTTGATTACATAAAATGTTTAAATTTGTATTTTTTCTTTTTTCTCCAATAAAGGGTGGTTTTCACCCCTTAAGAACAAAAAGCACGCCTAGCGCATAATAAATTTTGAAGTGGAGGGTAAGATGAGCCTAATTCTAAATTTTGAGAAAAATCTATGCAGTTATAAAAAATTTGGAGGTATTACTATATTTTCAGTTACAGTAACTGGGCTAATATTTTAGTTTCAGTAGAGAAGCTTTTGAAATTGTAAATATTGTAAATTTCACTAAGGTTTTGAATACAGATTTCAATCGCGTTAACGTAACGAAAATTACAAAACCAACGGTACGCAAAATTCGCTGATGTTTTGAAAAGAAATAAATCTAATAGTTTCCAAGCGCTGCCATACTTTCATTGATTATTTTATAAAAAAAATAATCTATGAAAACAGTTCTGAAGCATAAAGATAACGCGGATACATACAAGCTTATCACTTTTCTGGACACGCACAATAAAAAAATCACCAACCTTCTCACTTTCGAACCTCTTCAAGTCGTTCCTGATCACCGGAATCACAGACAGACCGGCCGCCGCCTTGAGTCGTTGATTCCTGAACACTATGAAGACGATAGCCGCCACTAGAACGAGTATCACAACCGTGAGGATGCCTATAACGAAGCCGATGTAGTGCTTGGGTTCCTCTTGCGTCCCAGCCTTGGTAGAAGGTCCCACTACGCTGTCTGTCGCCTTGGAAGTGCTTTTAACCTCGTCCCGCTGCAGGGGGTACTCCCGACCGGATTCCGGAACAGGAACATCTTCCTCTGAATCAGTGAAGTTACCAGAGACAGTTACTGGAATAAAATTAATACGTTTTAAGTTATTTTCTCAAATTTATTGATTTTAATCTCGTGTACGTTCATACAGAGACGAATTTACCACTAAATCAATGAAAAAAATTGCCCTAACTTTCAATTTTGCCGTACGGGATTTATCACCGTAGGTTTATCTTCCGGATAATGCAAATAAGCCCTATACAGTCCCTCGGAAAGAGCGACACTCCGGGTGATATTCGGCGGCCCGAAACTTCAAGAGTCCTCCGCCAGCCGATGGATCTTTAAGGTGAAATCTCGGCAGGCCCGGGCGAGGTCCTCTAATCTCTCGACCGTCCATAATCAACGGAATGACTTATTGTTTGCCAACGCGAAATGCTAATATTAATCTCCGTCGGGTAAATCGCAGCGTCACGCACAAAATGAACCGCAACATCGCTCGTCTCGATTTTCCGCGCCTTTTTCTTCCCGGGCTTTCTCCGGAGCGGGCTATTTTCCGCTTCGTTTGCTCCGATTCATTAAATGGCGACATTTTGCTTTTCCCGTTCTGTGGGCAGGCGGGTCACATATTTTATACGTCGGTCGTCGTCGTGACAGGTCCTGAGTTAGAAGTCTTAACCACAAATATAACAGTTAATAGAGTAGACAGTATTACACAGGACGTCTTAGACGTATACAGGTTGTCCCGAAATTACTGGGACACAGATTCCTTACATCAAAATAATGCGATTAAGCCAAACTTACCTTGGGTCCATTTGTGGCTAATAAAAAAGTTATTAGTTTTTCTCGTCCCAGAAAACCCCCTAATTCAAATTTTCAAAAGAATCCTTTGAAAACTTTCTAAGAATTTTAAGAATTTCGAATTCAAAATTTCAACTTTAACGCCCTGTAACTTTTTTATTAGCCACAAATGGACCAAGGTAAGTTTGGCTTAATCGCATTATTTTGATGTAAGGAATCTGTGTCCCAATTTCGGGACACCCTGTATATGCTTATTGAAAAAAAAGTCCATCTTAAGGGTGTGTCATTGTGTCATAAGGAGAGGTTAATATACTCTGTTTACCAAAAATTAACATAAGCACGTCAAGGCAATAAGATATATCGTTAACATAAATGTTAAATAATAGTGGCTCCGAATCTGAACCCTGAGGGACCCCAGGTAGTTGTAGTCACTTAAATACTTGACATTGAACAAGTTGTTGTTCACTATAAAAGGTATTAACGAAATATTAGTTTTTCATATTTTTTTTTTTAAATAACTTCAGTTTTAATTTGGAAGATAAAAATATAAAATTTCTACTACTTGTTCGAATTTCAAGTGCTCTAAATTATTTTACTGACACTTAACTTTTGCGAAAATCCATCAGTTCCGGCAAGAGCCCCCAACGGGGCGATCTATCATGCGACGTAGAGCAAAATCGAACAGGTACTGCATCGAAAAAAAAAGTCGGCGCCGCTCCGAACGGGTTTCGCAATCTATCGGCAGAAGGGTATTTTAAAAATGAACGACAAAAAGATTGCCGAGCGTGTATCTGAGTGTTTTTTTAGGTTGTCGTGCGATAAAGGCCCCGCATTAATCCCTATCAAATAAATCAAAACGTTCCATGCAAAATGGACTACAATATCGACCACCTCGCCTGAAATACGGGGATTTATCGGGACGCAGACTTGGCTTATGACCCCGCATCAGCGTCACCGAAAAGGGGTCGTAAATAAGAATATATGAGAATAATGCATAGAGTACTAATTAACCGTCCCCTTCCGCACAAGTAACCATTTTCTTTGCTGTCCAATGATGTACAGTACAATACAATACAATAGAGATCAAGAAAATTATTTAATATTTGTTGGGGCCCATTAATTGATGACCTTGAAGTTGACTTTGAATGTCATTTTCAAGGTTGTTTGGAAGTCAGCGTTCATTTTTCAAATTTTATTTTCGAGAACTTTTGACCCATGGGTCAGAGTGATCTCTAGGAGTTGCCTAGGAGGTCTAATATCTCTCTCGAAGCTTTCAGTATATCTCGTCAAAATAGCGACGTCAAATGAGCTCTATAAAAGTTATTGAGGTCATCAAGAACAACCACTTAGTGACCTTAGACTAAAAATATTTGAGGTGAACCTTGTAGAGCATTTTAATTCTTTCTATCTACTGCCACCATAGATCGTCTTCAGGACCTATGGGAAACTTGATATCTACATAATCTCCTGAATAAAATCACTGTTAACTCAAATTATAATTCATATCCGGGCCTAAAATCCCCGATTTTTCATAATCCAGGGTCTAAAAGTAGCTGACATTCAAATGACCTTGAAAATGACCCTCAAGGTTAAACCTAAAGTCATCAAGTAATGACCTCAATAATTTTTATAGAGGTCATTTTCCTTGCTAACTCAGCCTAAAGAGTTACTCAGGCTGTCCATAATTTTGGTACACCCTCTGTTACTATTTAGTGACGCTTCGGATAGAAAACTCATCTTCAAAGATTGAAGGATATTATTTTTAATAGTTTTCATAAATTTACAAAATATGATACCTATATCAATATATTCGGACGTAAAATTTGGCACTTTATCGATTGCTGACATAAGAAATGTAATATTTTCGAGTTGACCTCGGTTTGATCTTGAAATTTAAGGTCAGTGTCAAATCCAAGGTCACCAGAATATCGATTTCTTGATTCTACAAGATTTATCTGCCACTTTTTCGAGTGTTAAAATCCAAGTGGCTACAGTTAGATATGTTGTGTCAAACCCCAACAATATTTATGCGAACCCCTTATCTGCAAGGTACGTACGTCTATGGAGCCCGTACGGGATGCCTGCAAAAAGCCCGTCGGCAGTGTACAGTAAATGTCAATGTAAGTGTACATGCATGTAGCGGATCCTCTCTAATGAGAATTAGATTGCATTTTTTACTCGATAGTCGCTGGATTATCATCGGTAAATACGTCTGTGTAATCACAAAAGATGTCACACGTGTAAAAGTTAAAATTTAGTGCAATATTTATTAGAAAAATAATAATATTAACTTCCAGTTCTATTCCCTGTTCCAAAAAAATGTTTTTTGGCATTTCGAGTGGTGGAAGGGGCGACAGATTATTATTAACCTGAATCGAAGGAAACCTCGCTTAGCAGGATCCACCTGGAGGCAAAATAAAGCTGGAGCTTCAAGAACTTCCCGATCCTGTGGTGCAGCTTTATGGTGACGTTCCTGGAGTGTTCTAACACCAAGTCGGGCATGTACGAGAAATGGACCGGCTCGGGACTGAAGATGTTACCGTTCAAGCTGAAGAAGGCTCTGGCGTGCGAGAAAACCTGGAAAATACACCAAAAATATTTGTTATGCGAGCTTAAACTGTAAAAGATGAACGCCTGTCCCTGAACTTGAGTTTAACTTTACCTGGACATCTTTGGTGAAGAGGTTATTGGTATGCAAATGGGCCGCCGAGAAATTGCGAACCTTATCGAACTCGAAGAGCATTTCCAGAGGATGACCCGCCCATCCAGGGGTGTCGTTCCTCCAACCCACCCACTCGTAACCTACGTTAAAAAGGATAAAAACAGTAAAATATAGGAATTCAGCTGTAAAATAATCTTTGAATTGATGACTAGCATGTTTTTGCAACAAGGTAGGAGATATATGCGTAGAAGGTATCCAGATCTACAAGACCAATAGATTGAGATAAGCTGAAGAGTTATACCTTTTTGAATTTTAAACATTTACGTTGTTAGGAGAATCGAAAAAAATAAATAAGTTAAAGTGATATCCGCAGAATCTTTATTATTGATTTACAAAGAACTACCTCTACCACTTTTTTGTGGTCTTGTGTAATTGCTCTTATGCATGTGTGCAAAGACGGTAAATAACGACGCGCATATTTAAATACGGAACTCGTCAAAGCGCTGCGGGAATTGTGCAACGGGTCCGAATACCTTTATTAAAGCGGCGAATTCCCTGGAACAATGTTTATTTATTTCCGACGCCGTGGGCTATGCAACCCGTCGCACAAAGTAATCTACAACGGAATAAAAACGTCACGTCGTCGCCGTTACCCGTAATTTCAAAAAATGTTTCAAAATAAAGTCCCGGCAAAGGATGCAATGCAATTTAAAACACAAAAGTAACGTCGCCCGCACAAACGGCTCCAATTCTTTGTGAGTTCGCTTTGAGGACTGCGTTTCCGCGTAGAATAACGTTATGAGTAATTGTTTCCAACGTATGGAAGCGGGTCAACGACCATCCAGCTTTTCTACAAAGAATCGAAGCGCGGTATAAAAATAATCAAAGCCGGATGTCTTCCGAGAGCTGGGCGCACGATAAGGATCTGCACTGATAGAAGTGTTTGTTCCGACGTTTCCCGTATCGAGGAAATAAAATTACAGAAGCTCCATGTTCTCAGTAGCTCTAAATTTTTAAGTGCATCGATATTCGAACCGATCTTATTCTTTACGTAAAACATAAATATTTTCTAGCTTCGGCCAATGCTAAAATATTTAATTTTTTAGCGACAGAAGATCGCTACTTGTTTATTACCCCCAGAACCCTCCATAATCAAATTTATTTATCGTCCGATGGACTACAGTAAAGCACTAAACAGCAGTTTGTTTGGCAAACGGCCATCCGAAACACTTCTTGCTCATCTAGGCAAATAATGGCTACTATTATGCGGCTAGCTGGATTAAAGTGGTGGTACACTCCCCCTTCGCTTTGTATCCTCTTGGTCGCTACACAGTTCCGTTTATCTATACGAGCTGAGGGGGAATAATACGGCTTCATCTCAGGAATTTGCAGGTTAGGGATTCTGCGAGCTTAGTCCGTATGGGCCCCTGTTTTGGGCCTTAGTAAAGATTTCGTCCTAATTGCAATAGGCGATTAGCTCGGACAAAGACTTGTGCTGTTTGTAAATTTACAGGAATTGTAAAGATTTAACCTTTAGAAATTTATCATTTTTCCGAAATTTTTCCGTGATTTTTGACAGACTGTATTTAGGTGAAAAATGGTCGTATCGGGAATTTAAAAAAAAAGCATTTTGAAGCTCTAAGATTCTAGTTTTTATATCCTTCGGTCGAAATTTTTTAGAAGCTACGGTTATCATGCAATTCTAAGAAATAGCGTGACAGAAAAATTTTGCAAATTTTCTTTTTTTTTTCTTGGTCGACGGACTTGGAAAATTTTTTTTCAGCTAAGCCATTGCATGGATCAGATAGCTTGTTTATTCAGCTTCAATTTCCTTTTTCTTAAATTTCGATACGACCATTTTTCATCGAAATACAGTCTGTCAAAAATCACGGAAATAATTCGGAAATTCTTTTGACCCTTTATTTTTTTGCATTACTGTATATCAAATTTAGTATACATAATTATTTACAAAACTCTGCCGCTTTAGTAAACGAGAACATATTTATATAAATTATTCTGTTCTGACCTCACATTCTTCATGTACAAATATAAGTTTGATGTCGGTCATACGGAAAACACTGAAAGTTAAATTGTGATACTAAAGAAATATGTCCGGCATTAAATTTATAGCTGTAATAGAATTTAGGTTACATTATTTACGAAGAGTAAGAAAATTGTTTTTGCCAGACATTTTATGACTTTTATGAAATATTTGACGCCAATGGACAAACATGGAAAGGTAAATGCGATGGAAACCAAAATGACACATTGGTGAAATATTTCGGTATTTTCTGTTCTCATTCAAATACTTTTATAACAAAAGTGCACAATAAATCATTATCATTATTTTTATATTTTTGTGTAACAATAATAATCTCAGATTACTGGACAAAATGTAAGTCGTTTTAATTTAATAAAACATTAGGGAAAGGTCCTGCTATGGAAGAGTCTGCCTTGCTTTGCGAGACGAGCGATATTTTTTAAATAGCCGAGCAGCGAGCTGGAATAACATTATTTTGGAAAATATGTATAATCCGAAACGTAAAGAATAATTGAAATAATTGGTCCGTGGAAGGAACAAAGCAAGGATTAAAGACGTTGCTCTGTTTACTTAAATAAATCCCCTGTCTGAGTTTTGATATCATTTTAAGCGGATTCCAATGTAAGAGTTGCCGTGGAAACAAAATCGACGAGCGTTAAAATGTCTTTGTTGTGCGGCTCAGTATTCGTTTTGAGATGCCATCAAATTCGGCCGCTTTTGTATCTTGAATTAACCAGTAAAAATAAAAGATCGGCAGCATAATATAAACATTAAATTGAATCAAACATCATGTTGCTTGCAAAAGTTTCTTGGAACCAGTTAAGTAGAGATAAACGATGTAATGAAATTTTAGTTAACTCTTATCATTGCAACTAAATTGTTTTATAACGCTATTTCTAATCCCTCTTAATAATACCATAGTGATTTTACTCCAACTAACATCAAAGAAATCTCAAATCAGAACACGCTTTTGATTGTTCAAAGCGCCATCTGTTTAAAAATATAAATAGTGAGGAACAAACGCTTTGGCTTGTACTATTCTTTGGGTTCTGTACACTGCTATTGGCTCTAAGAAGGTACATCTTTCAAGAGAGCTTCTGAAAGCTATATATACTCGCGTCTTAATTTTTCCAATACTAGAAGCTGCAGAAGAATTGGCTCTGTACAATTTTTTTAACATTTCATTAGTTCAAATTCTTCTTGCTATATTTTGGTTCACTATATTTTTCAGTATAACGCTAATCGAATCGATCTTACTCTTTGGGTACGAAAAATAAATATCTGCTACGCATTTATGTGGTCTAGTTTCGACCACACGTCTAGTGCATTAGAGAGCGGGACACAAAATAGTTTCCCTTCCCTGTCTCACGTCGAACAACGCATATTGCGCAAATAAAATTGGGCGATCCTGCCCGAACAACACGTTGTAGAAAGTGCCGCGGGCAGAACGAAATTGTAATATAAATGTAAATCCCGCCGGTGTATTGGCAACGAATGCATTTGTTTTACCTTTGGCCTCGCTCGCCAGGTCGGAGTTAGCGTTGTTCTCGCAAAGGACATTACGGTGGGGGATGTAGAAAAGTCGTGGTTTTATTTTAAACGACCCATATCCCCAGGAACATATTAAATAATAATATAGCGGATAAAAAAATTACAGCCATGCAGTGAAAAGTTATGTCTGTAATATTTACCTTTGCCGTGTCCTGCAAGATCTAGTCTAAAGTTATCTCTGCCCTTTTGTCCATCTACCAGCTGTCCTAGACCACGTGATAATTGGCCGTTTTCCTCTAGCCCGTCGTAGGTTCGGTCAGTGAAGTCGAGATCTGGCCCTCGACTAAGTCCTTGGGGCATACCGTAACTTAGAAGTCCAACTGCAACAGAGTAACTGATTTATGACCCTACCCCGTATATATATGTATTTCCATTTTTGAACTTTGATACGCCAAGAAATTGGTCTTGGGATAATACAATTATAATCTGATGGATTCAAATCTAGGAACTGTGGCGGTTCAAAGACATGGAGTAGGCTGTTTCCAAAGCAGACAATCACATTGATATTAAATGGACCTGGTTTATATGATTTCTAATAAAAGATTCGGATCCTTGGAATTAAACGAAACTGGACGGATTTAATCCAATGTCCCTGGATAATCGTATTTAAACCTCAGCTTGACGCAGCTCCCATTCAGTCCAGAATTAAATGCGATCATAATTGGCACTTTTTTAAGGTGGCAATTTTGCCACCGGTCTGCTTCATTCACAACCAATAAACGCAGCCAGTCAAAGGAAAGCTGACATTGTACATAACGACTCGTAACTACAAAAGGCAACCTGCAAAAATGCAGGATATGCTCTTTAATGCGGTTGTAGCTTCGAAATTTCTATCCTGCAATTATTCTTGAATGCAAAGTACGTACAGTATTTGTCCAAATTAGACAAACACTATTGAAACAAGAAAGAAGAGTTGTATCCGAATGTCCGACAACTTCCCGAGGACTGGTTTAACAATAACACAAATTTGTGGCCAAGTTTTACAACGAACAAAGAGATAGGACAAAGTTTTCGTAGTGCAAGCGCGCGATGTATTATGGTAATTAAATTTAAAGTCTCATATTAAATCAGGATAGTCGAGATAGTTCGGGATGCAGATTGAATATACAATCGATCCAGCAAACGCGGCGTTTCCTGAAGGGAATATCACGTTTCAAACAACAAAGTCAGCGGATAATAGTGCTTTACAAAACCCAAAAACCAGATTAATTGTAGACAACCATCTAATAAATAAAACGTCACTGGCTTTACTCTAATAACGACACATAAACTTTCTCTTACTCCGTCCCAAAACAATGTCTCCAAGTCTTAACACAATTACAGTTCCTAGATTGACTCGGAAATAATTAAACAAGAAACAACAACCAGCGTGCTAACTCCTCGCTAATATTTTTTGACAGACTTATTACACTGTTGCCTAACAGAGCGAGTCCCAGTAATTATCCCAATTAGTACAAGTTAAATTTCGCATTAAACTTCCTAATGCACCTTATTTGTACGTAACGAGTTGTTTCCCGGCTGGGAAAACAGGCGAAATAGTTGCCAACAGAACGAAAAGCCTGTTCATTAGTCGGTTTTTACTTTGCGGCCCGCAGAACGATCTGCGAGTTGTCGGTTTTCGCGGTGGGGCGCCGAAATGCTGACGTGCCGTTTGTATCGGCAACAATTGGAATTCACCAGCTATGGTGTATTATTCCGAGGCTTCGGCTTTCGAATAAATTACGTCTTTTTTTGGCATTTCCATTGCAAATTGCTTCAATAATTTGCGTAACAAAGCAGTTAACTTAGCGGTAGCCATTTTTTTAACCGCCGTACTGCAAATGGACAAGTCACGGTTGATAATGAATCAATCCGTAAACATACAACAGTACTCCGTACTCAATGTCTTTTAGTTCTTTTTTTTACCTCAATTGCTGTTAGCCTAGTTAGAGCGTCCGAGAAGATTGCGATGCAAAAGTGTAACAATGGCAACTTCTACTCCTTATGACAAACCTTGGGACATTTTTACTAAAAGTACCTATTTCATATGATTTTAGGGATACAATACCCATAGGCAATGCATCCAGGGTATCTCATAAACGTTTCTAACGGTTTTATCTCTGCTATAGTCAAATAAATATCCTGGTTCCGTTAGGTTACACCTAAAAGCGACTAAACAAGTAACATTTCGCTAATTAATTTTTAAATTAAAATTTCAGGTATAGCGGGGCATAAAATTGCCCCGCGTCGGTACCCCCGCCCGAGGCGAATAAATTCCACCCTCCCTAATCGCCTCACTTATTTAAATTCGCGAAATACCCGCCAAATAAATCACATTTTACGAGTCATCAATAATAAGGGAACACCATAACATTGTTTAGTTCGCTTTGTGAGGAGGTTCTCGTCTCCTTTTTCGCTTCCACTTATTTAATACTCCCGGTCTAACGATGATTAATAGCAAAGCTATCCGGGAAAAGCGCGAATATTATTAATTGCGCGGATTAAAAGGCCTATAAATAATGCCGACGGAGCAGGTGCATTTCCTGAGAGACGGGTGTCTGAAGGAGTCCTTGTGTGTGTGTGGGAGACATTTTTCACTTCATCTTTAGATACTCGATGGCCCAGTTCAGCGACCCAATATTTTTTATGAATTAGCGTTAAAAAACTATTGAAAATCAAATAATCAGAGATCAAATTTGTTGAGCTTTCATCTTTAATATGCCCATAGACCCCCAAGAATCAGGAAAACTAATCTAAGAACTGAAATAACAACTACAATTTAAAGATAAAACAAAAGTCGTCTAAAAATGGCAGAATATGTATGACAGTAAAAGATATAGAAGCCAAGAAGTGGTTATCATTAAAAATTGTACCTTATTTTATTTATTTCTCTCTTAATTATTCCGTTATTAAAGCAGTTAACAAAAGCGTAAAATTCCAGGTACAATACAACAAAACAGAAATCTATTACAAAAGAAATACAGAATAATTATACCCGATCTAACTTAACTTGGCGTCGCAAGCTTCTGTATACCGCTAGCGATGTAATTATAAAAATAATCAAGGCCTCTATACTCGCGGTCGGTTACAAATTATATTCAGCATTATGCTCTGCCGAGGTGTTATAAGTGGCACGCTAAAATTCTATTAAGCACAACAACGGTACGTTTCTAGGTAATAGGGATTGATCAGGAACTGAGCTTTGTTCACCTCAAGCCTTTTTGGTGCTTTCGAGAATCATATTTAACAAATAAATTATATCGAGCAACTATGACTGTTATGGGTATTTTCTGAAACATATTTTGGGAAAGTTGTATAAATAGGTCATCACTATTTTTAATTTATTTTTTGTACAGACACACCTATATACTTGACTATGAAAGTCGACATGTTGCAATATCCATCGTACTGAACAAAGGTGCCATCAAATTCTCCTTTGTTAGGGCCTTCAAAAGTACATTTGCAAGATCAGAAGCTCAAGTCAGGTACAGGTTCTTCTTTTTATAGACTTGAGCGTCTAATCTTGCCTCTAAGAAAAACGTTCTGGGAAATACAAATCAGTTCGAGACGATTTGTCATGGAATTGTTTTCTGACTGACCTGTCCATCTACATCCAATTAGCTCCACTCTCATACACACCGTCCTCACATGGTCACTGTATGGAAGAAAACGTATTTTTGAGGCAATGACTGGAGGATCTAGCTTCTGGTCCACTATGGTGAAGGTGTTGGTGTTACCTGGCAACAGCTGCAACAAGAATATGTCGTCAGTATTGGTGCAGAATTAAAAGAAATCAGAAACGTTATCTCTTCTGATGGTCAGAACATCGACTGTATGATATTCTCTGTACAATATTATAAATAATTGATGATTATTACGTCATGTGGTACATTCTGTTAACGGAATAGCAATGATGATACTAATTCTTTCAAAATAGTACTCCATTGGACGAGACTACTCTTTTGCGGATGTAAAATATTTACTTCCTTTTCACCTTTTTTGGCCACATTGTAAAATAAATAATCCCTACCCAACCCAACCCATCCCGTTCGTTTGTTTGCTATCGCGTATAAAACTGCCATAGCCGTAACAGTTTAGACGCGTATGGCGTTTTTCAATGGAGATAAAGAGCCATTTGCAATTTCAAGTGCTTGCTATGCGGATGCGTTATGTGCCCGCTTATTACGCCCCTATAATCATGGGCCCGTATTTTTTTTTATGGCCGCTTACGCATATCAGAAGTGGGATGGAAGAGATAAAACAAGGCTGTTTTCGTTTCCATATGCCCGTAATAAATGAGCCGGCCGATAAAAAGTGACCGGACGGGAAATATAAAACAGTTGTCACTGATAAGGATATTTGTTTTAACGATCTTAAAAAATAGGGTACCCGGAAATTAGTAAGGTGTCACGGTATTGTGAAAAATTATGGAGAAATTGGGATTTATAATTCCATGTTGTATTTTATACAAAATATTAATAATAATAAATTTTATATATAAATTGAATACGTTAAATTCAATACGTACAATTTTGGCGCCCAAAGTGGGGCCAGTCGTAATCAATAATTATAATTCAAAATAAAACAATTCTAAACGGTAGTCTACGATTAATTCCTTGTAATAAACAGTTTTTATACAGGATGTTCTATGAGCCACGTCCTATTTATCAGGGATTAGATCAGAAAGTTGAAATCAATGGAAAGTGAGGTAAAATTTTAGAAAGTATGTACTTAATTTATTTTTTTTTATAGATACCGTTTAAAATGCCCACCCTGTACATGGTGAATTTATTGCGCGCTAGCATTTCGCTCTTCGCAGTTAGTTATTAGTTTCTCGGCAATAAGAATAATCCGTTTCAATTTTCATAGAGGCCGTCGCAGAAATTTGTTTTAAATTAAAATCCAACAACACAATCCAATTAAACCCAGTTCGAAAACTGGAGCGAGCCGACCGAATAGGACGGCTTTTTATTCGAATCGCCGAATAAATTCGTTTAATTGAAAATAAAATCCTAGCCCTCGAAGCCACTCTAGCAGGCAGTGTTTACGAATCGTTAAATTTTCTCGTTATTTATTAAAAAATCTGGTTTACGGTTTTCCAATAACACCCCCATCTGAATAACGAGACGAGGGGATCATTTGGGGATGCCCCGACGAATCACATTTTGCTGACAGATTTATAACTGTATTTTTTGAGAGGTTTTTAGTATTAGGGATATTAAAAGAAATAACAAAGATATTTAGTAGAAAAAAGTATTAAACATGGTGTGCCTCAAGGATCCATTTCAGACCCTATACTTTTTTTAATAAACGATTTACCTACTTATGAACCAATTAGAAATGTCATTTTATTTGCTGATGACACTACCATAGTTAATTGAAGTGATTCAGCCATTTGAAAATTAGTTCACACACTTAGCAGTTCTTCAGCAACAGTTGGGAGTCATGGATTTGCGATTTAGCTGGGAACTTCACATTGATTATCTCATTGGTAAGTTACCCAAATGTATCTCTATGATTATTATTTCGTAATTCAAAGAATGGTTATAGAAACGTATTTCGCATAATTTTTAAACCTTCACCAAAGTCCTCGTTATGGAGCAATCGTTTTTAAAATTCTTGTAATTAAACTTTGAACCTTTAACTTCAAAATGGCGCTAATTAGGTTTCTTAATTGTTATAAACAAATTAGTTTTTTTTAAAAAGCTAACTTTGTCCCAAATTGGCCTAGGACAATTTTATTTTAAATTCGTCTAAAAAAGCCAGCTTTCCGAATATGAAAAAATATTTTATCTCCCAGCAATAGGGAAAAAGTTATTCAATTTATTTATTAATTAAAAAGGTTACTATTTTTGAAACAAATTTTCAATAAAAAAAACGATTTTTTTTCACTTTTTTTGGTTCATAATGATAGTTTAGCTCTTCTTTCTTATGGTACCCGTAGAATTGCTGTATCTTCATTATTTTCTGACTAATGTTATTGCAAAATCATGGTCTCTGGGATAAACAATTTGAATAAAATTTAAACTATTTGATGGATCGATCTGAAATTTGGAGGGTTTATAAAGTATCACAAGACCCAACTTTTCATGCATATAGCATAGTTGTAGGTGGATTTTTTACAAGACATTGTCAATTTTTATTTTTCCCTAAGTTTGTAAATTTCTAAGCAACAAATTCATTTATCAACTTTTATAAAACGCCATTTTAAAGCTTGATTTATGTTTCAAGTAATGATTACTTTATATTTTCAATAGGATATAAATTTTCGCCATGGTAGGCAAAAATAGCGAAAATTTGCATTTTTTGCACTTAATTGTTAATAAATAAAAAGGAGAGTGGTAGAATTTCTTCCTATAGGTCAATATTACCTAAAACACTTGTCAGATACCTGGATAATATTTTGTCCTGGTAAATTCTTGTCCTGGTAAACAATACAGAAATATGTTATTAATGAAAGTTGTTTGGAATAAAAATTTATATAATTTAAATTTGTGTATGAATCGGCCTACTTTAATAGAAACAGACAAAAAAAAATTATTGTTCATGTTACGAGAAAAAGTTTTGCTCGTCTTTAAAATATCTTTAAAATGTCTTGAAAGATATGCAAAAATTTTAAGCAAGAATACCTTTTTCTCGTAAAATGAAAAATAAAAATATTTTCCCTCTTTTCCATTTTATCCGTAGACACACTGTAGACTGGAAATAAATTAGAATGAGACTGAGATAAGTTAAGAATTAGATTCAAATTAGATACATAATAGTGTTACATCTGCAAGGATATAATAAATACTCAAGTTCCTAATGCCAGACCCTTTAAAGTACGCTCCTCCCCGCCCCATTTCAGCGCCACTTTGATGGCGTTCAAGTGGTTGAGTACCTACGCGAGAAAATATCGCCCGCACGCGATAATGACCGTCGCGTTGTAATGAAAGGGACCGACGGCGATATGGACGACAAACCGCATTTCTGCCGAGACAGCCGGATGTTGCAGCGTCGCGACGTGCTCATTACTCCTAATGGCGCTGACCGGGAACGCTAGATTCGTAATAATAGTATACGGCCTGTTTGGCAAGCAAATGTCTAACTGCTTTTGAGGTTCAAATCGAAGAGTAATCACTATGGCACACGCAGTGAAGCCGAAATAGCTATTTAGATAAAGTTTCGACGGTTTTACTAAATATTCGTCAGAGCTCAGAGCTATTTTATTTTCTGTTTCGGTATTTGTTGGTTAGGGTCTATCTGATATCGTTTAAATAGTGTTCAAACATGTGGATGCAAAAGTATTGGTCGACGAAACAGAACAGAACCGTACTTACACATCATAATAGTGTATAGTTTTGCGCGTATCATTGGCGGTTTAATTTAGTTGCTGTATTAGACCAGGGCAGATCTGTTTTGAGGTGGACATGAGAGGGGGCAAGCAAATTTTTTCTGGATTACCTTCAGTACAACTCACATAATAAAAGTGTGTAGTTTCCTCTCGGTCCGGAACATTTTCAACCTATCATACCTATTTTATCCGAGTTTTTTACTTATATCTTAGAATCCATGCATTTTGGAAGAATATTGAAAAGGAAAAAAGTTTTAGAATTGAATCTTGCACAATATACTGTAAGTTAAAGATGTTTAAATTTATTACCGATGTTGTAAAATAGCAACAATTGATGAAAAAAGGCAAAATAATCAAGTTTTTTTTTTTCATAATTTTTTTAAAATATTTTAATTGCTCTGAGAGCATTCTAATTTTGGTAAAAGAAACTTTAGAGTATAATAAAACAACACACCAAATTTTATTAAAATCAGTTGGATAGTTTTCGCAAAATAATTTTTTGAAAAAAATTTGGAAAAATTTTTTTCGAATTTTCAAAATGTTGAACAGCCTCAAATGAAGCATCTAGATACTTGAAAATTTTTTCACATAGAAAAGACCGCTCAACCTTTGAAATGGTTTTTGAAAAATTGAAATCGGTTGATTCGGTCAGCCACAGTAAATTTTTAAAGTTAACACAATTTTTTTTATTTTTAAACAATTAGATTACATTTATCAATTTGCAATTTAGTTTTTTTCAAAAATTATAATGTACTGTACTATAGTTCACCTAAACCAGGTGATTGACACTGAGATTGGTAAACTAAACAGTGCTTCAAAAAAAACTATGTAAAATACGATTAAAAAACATGAAATTATAAAAAAAAAATTAAAAATTATCAGATTATCAAGTGGTTTGAGGTTTCTCCTGCAAAATTAAGATCTGTTTGTAGTAAATGCTTGAAATTTTATTTCCCACTCGCCTTGTCGTCGTATTTTTACGAAAATTAACAATTTACCGCCACCTAATATCGGTTTGTTCAGCAAACGCGGCCAACAATCGGGCCAATTACCCCTTTCTCCGCGGCACACAAAGAAAAGTGGCCGGGAACCGACGTCGGCTTGTTTTAATTAACTAAGTACCACGAAACGGCGGCACAAAGGGCCTCTATTACGCTTTATTGTTATCTGTTGTCGCCCGTGGAAATATAGCGCCGCAATATTTTTAAATACGCGGATGCTATTCATCATCTGATATCGTCCGCTCGCAATATGGGTCACTATCAGCAATATGCGACCGGCGCAACGGCCGCCGGCGAACGGAGGCCCAAATGACGGCCCAAATTGACTTTTTAATATCGCTTTGTGTTTCGCCGAGCAAATGTGGTTTTGTCACTCTAGATGCTTTTTGTAAGGTTCGGAATAAGGTTGTTTCCACAACTCGGGCCTCAGTTATTATCATATACCCCCTAATCTTTTACAAGAAGCGCGCTTTAAGTATATTAACGCATGTAAGATCACGCAGACCCCTTCCCCAAAGGGGAGATTGACAATCCCGCGTAATCATTTATCTAACTCAACCCTAATCTGCATTTCAAAACTTTTTTTGCGAACGGGGAAGGGAACGGATACCCGATTCGCAATGAATTCGAAACCCAGCTTTGTCCTCGGCGGTCCCTCATTGTGTAAACATCTGTCTGCCGTCTAATCCAGGAGAACTAGAGGGGGTACGGGCCCGTCACGCCGTCGAGACGCAGCTGAGACGCCTCTTGACGGGCGCTGGCGCGTCGGAGGACCGTATTATCGCCCTCGGTCGGCGGTTACTTTCGCTTATTTCGTCGCGGCTGGCGTTTGATTGCTGTATAAATTCCTTGGCTCGGAAATGAGGGTTTCGCCTCACTTTTGAAATGCAGCCTAGTCGCTGACGACGCCTGTTACTGAAAATAACGCAAATAAATAATTCTTTCTTTAATTTTAGTACTACTTAAACACAGCAGGGTGTATGTTTCAATAAAAAAATGCGTAAAAATTGCAGTGTACCTATACTTCTCTCGAGAATTTGGGATAGTCTCCAGTAACGATGTAAATTTACTGAACTGAGGAGTCCAGTTAGATAAAACTTTGATTTATAATCAAGTCCATAGGGCTTGGGTCCGGTAATCCCGGTGGCCGTTCTATTTTTAAAATAAACTTGACGTGAAACCAAGTATATCCACCACAGCACTTAGAGAACTATCACCCCGTACACCCCCATTTTTCAGGCCTCCCGCCGCATTATGCGGCGAGGCCGGATCGTACTCAACGCGGATAAATCCGTGCGCTGGGATACGGTCGCCGCGCCGTGTGAATTTACGTTTCCCAGGCACGTGAAATCCGCGTAAATGGCAAAATCTGACACTCGTCACGTCTGCCAGAATTGTCGGGGTCCGTTTGAATACCAATTCGGTTTCGGCTTTAAGAACCTGGATAATCAGACTCGCGTTCCCGATGCGTTCTCTCGGATGGGCGACATCCGCGCGCCTTCTGGCATAAAATAAGTCGATTAACCGCCGTGGTGTTTATTTTAACTATATTGTTGAAAAAAAAAAGTGTAAAAAGCAGTGGTGGTTTCTGTATAGGGTCATTTGGTCAATGACCAAGTCCAACGGCGTTGAATCGCGTGATCTGGCCGGTCAGTTCTGATCAAAACGGGAAATTACACGACCAGGAAATAACTTATGCAGTAATTGAATTGTTTCTCGGGTTGTATGGCATGTGGCACCGTCTTATTGAAACCACGTGTCGTTTACATCTATATCTTGCAATTTAGGCACAAAAACTGGATTATCATGTCGCAATTGCGAGCACCATTAACTGTTATGGCCTGACCAGCCGTATTTTCGAAGAAGAATGGTTCGATGATGGATTGTGGATTTTTTGAACCCCAAATGCGACAATTTTGTCGACTAACGAAGCCATCAAAGATAAAAATGAGCGTGATTGTTGAAGATAATTTTGTTCCAAACATTAACATTCACTTGCTGCTTCATAATCCATTCCAACGAACTATTTTCGCTTTGTGTGGTCAGTAGGCTTCAGTTCTTGAGTCAATTGGACTTTGTAAGCATGAAAATGCAAATCTTTCGTTAGAATTCGCTGTAGAGAGCTTCTTGAAATGTCCAAGTCTTAACCACGGTCTCAAATTGATGTTCCTGGACTGTCAGCAACATTCTCACGAATTGCTTCGATATTTTTTTTGTTGCACCACTTGCTGAAGGACGGTCAGAATGTTTAAGATCGCTAATTGATCCAGTTTCCTTGAATTTTTCAATTAATCTCTTCGTAGTTGAAATTAAATCACTATTCGGACCATATTTCTTACGAAAATTGCGAACTATATCTGCCAAACCTTCAATATTTTAAAAATTTTGCTCAACAATGAAGCGTTGTTATTTCATGCTCAATTTTTATTAACCCTGAACTGTTAGCTGTCACATTGTCTTTTTTCCGTTGGCAACACTTTACAGCACAAATGGCGCAGAATTCAAATCTTGTGTAAATTTTGAGACACCCAATAGCGTTCACTTAGATCATTCGACCTTGTAATAAGTATTTAATATTGTTATTCAATGTATTTAACAACAGTGGTGTATTTTAATTAAATATAATTCAATAAAACGTTACCAGATACGACATTAAAGTAAATTGAATTTTAACACTTGTTTAGAACTCATTATTTAAACCTTAACAACGTTTTAATTGTTAGTGATCGTAGATCACTCAAAGGAATATTACATTCGTTCAGAATGACTTAAAATAAGAATTTTTATAGACCGCGTGTGTTACATCATGCATGTGTGTAAACATTCGGTGGTATATTTGGAAGGTTTAGGTATTGTGCGGTACACAAAACATCTTCAGTAAGCTCAAAGAAAAATTCCGTACATATTTCTACTGGGCATGTGTATTTTTTGATTTAGAAAGCTTATAAACTTGTGTGTTACAAACTTCGCCTTAACGAACTACAATGTTGACTGAAATATTGCAGATACATACATATTTCGTAAATGAAACAAGACAGTATTATGTAGAAACAAATGTAACAGTGTTTATAAAACGTCTCGTTACATCACCATAAGAAAGTATATATAGAACAAGCAAGGAATTTTCTGAAATGTAAATTAAAATAATAATAAAATCAAAGTTGTTATACGTAAAGGAAACGATAATACAATACTGCAAGGAGATTAAGCTTCTGAACAAAAAACCAGTCCTAACGTTTATTGTTACGTGCTGTACTTTTAGCTTTTCACTCACCTCTTTCCCTAATCTATTCTTCCACCGCACCCACTTGCTGAACCCTGTCCTCCAGTACTCCAGCATATACTCCTCGGCATACTCCTGTCCAAAACCGTTCCCAAAGCGGCCTTGCGTCCGACTCCCAGTTATCACGAAGAGGTCCTCTAGGTTTATCTCCAGGTATTCTTTGGCGTCTCGGGACACCATCTGTCTGGGACACCACGCGCCTCCGTTCTTATCATTGCGCAACCTGGAAGAAGGAAACGAATACTTAGAAATAAATCTTAAAGACTGTCAGGAAAAGATTGTAGCCAAATTTTTATTTTTAATGATCTACAATACAAATGTACTCATTTTTGTTTGTTTCACGAAAAACTCATCTTATGTATGTGAAGCTATCTAGCTCGCGGCCGTGCCTCGAGCCAAGAGAAAACTGTTTCCCAGCCAGCAGCTGGAAAAGCGCAAGGAACTAAATGAAGTGTGAAATTTATTAATAGTGGCCATTCGACGGTAATTAATTTTGGTGCTAGAGGCGGCGAAAGAATCTGATATATAGTAACGATTTATTAGAGATACTCAGGGGGTGCTTTGTCATACTTTTACGAAGAAAACGTATACAGGGTCTAGAGATGTTTCTTTAAAGAGATAATTTTCCAAAATAAATGTACATTGGTAGATTTTAATTCATTAAATCATCATCTTTGTAAGAATCGGCCAGTTAACAGACCTGATTTATGTCTAATTGAAATATATTTAAATGCAGTTGTTTAGCCAGTGATATGAGTATAGCGATTGTTGCTCTGAAGCGAGAGGAGCGTCATTCGGGGTTGATTAAAATGAAGCAGGGTTCGGTTCATCCCTCCCGACGTTTCGCCATTTTCGCGTGCCGCTGTACCAGCCCGAAAAATAATAGTAGACAACGTTAAGCGTTATTAATTTCTCGTTCCCGCTGACAAAGACATATTATTCTTCCTAGCCGGTAGTATTATGTTGCCTGATTACCGAAACAGTGCTGAAATTCCAAACACAAAGGCGTTTTTATAAATTAACCGTTTCGCTGGCAGCTCATTTTGGGAGCACAAAAAAATAAATCGCTGTTTACGATTCCATTAATCTTTATTTTACTTCGATTCCGGGGAGGGTAATGGGGATCCATGCAAATACAGTCCATTTGTCAGTGTCGAACGTCGTTATAAATATTTGTTCCTCCTAATTGGTTTTGATACGTCGATCGGGTTCATTACTGGAAGGAAGAAATCCCCATCGGCTCTAATTAGCTTTCCAATTGCTATTGCAGAGTTCTACAGATTTGTCGCTAAAAACTTGGTCTGTGCAGGTCTGTACATAAAAATTATTATACTCGTAGAGCGCCATCAAACTAAAAAAAAACTAATTTGTTATCTGTACTTGTTAATGTAACGTCTATTTATTTACCTACTGTTTCAGTCGGAGAAAATTTCGAATAACGCTCTTTTAATTACACCGGGAAAAGCTCGGCGCCAGAACTTCTCAAAGTAATGGTATATGCACAAGGTGATTAAATTAATGAATACTTAAAGGAGTTCGTTAAAAGTTAAAAACTAATTAAAAAGTCCTGAGAGTATTATGAATATTTCAGGGAATAACTGTGTCTCCTCCGCGTCGCTTCGATCCCCATTATCCCACTTCTGATCGCACTTCTGAATTTGTAAATAACAAAAAGTGGGGTGCACTGGAAAGGCCCACTACAGGAGATTAAAGGGTCGTCGCAGTGCAGCAGATTAGTACGAAGCTCCGTGTTGTCTTACAGAGGATCCTCAGGTACAGATAAAACCACTTAGTACAGGCTATTTACCTTGAGCAAGTAAATTTAAATTAAAGAGATACTGGCTCAGATGAGTGAAGTCAGGACTGTGCATTTGTGCAATTATAAGAAACCGGTACTTAAGAGTGAGTATCGAAGCTGGTAGTGCTTTGAAATTGCCGACAGGTGGTGTAACCACACACTCGACATCTCTGTATTTTATTATACAAAGAATAAATACAACAACTGCGAATTTCTAACAAAAAAAGAGGTGGTTTTGTTCGACATTTTCACGTTTGTGTATGCTTTACTGTCAGCAGTTTGTTATCCTGTCGAAGAGGATCATAAAATTCGACCTATTGTGTCGGTGGTCGTGCGAGGTCCTCAGGGACATAAGCTGCTCCTTAAAAGAGGGTTAGCAAACCAAATGAAACAGCTATAAACTTCCAAGAATCCTTTCATTCCAGAATAATCCTTGGTCTCAACTTTGTGAATAAAAGTATTGTTACCTATGGTCTCTGGTATCATCAGTGAATCATATATAAGGATTTACGTGGAAAATATGTACAAGGTTTCTTGGATATACCCTCGATAGATGAGTTTTTCCAGTTGAGGAATGATACTGTCCATAAAATGGCAGTAAACTTCGAAGCTACATTCATAAATTTTTAGATGACTTGTTTATTACTCTTACTCTAAAGAATATGTACGAATTTAGTTCACAGCTTCAATATTATCAATGGGATTTCGCTAAACGATCAACACGATAGAAAATGTGTTGTGATTTAAAGATTAAAAAGAAATTGGACCGATATTTCACTACGTTACACTTCGTGGAGTCCGACATCGAAAAAATGCCATGCACCCTTGCGTCAGCCGTTTCAAATCGTTTGGAATTCTGCGTATCGCTCAGGTATATATCCGCCGAATGTCATAACGGTGATGGAGATCAGCCGGAATAACATTCGGCTAAAAGCATTTCCGGATCAGCGGTGGTTTCGAAAGTCAGCGGCTGGAAAGGCCCCTTCGACGTGGTTACCGCCTTTCAATTTCCTAGGGTATAAATTCCGCTGACGATGGACTGTACACGAGGTGTATACGCGAGTGGGCGGAGGCTGAGATTTATACAAATGTATAAATGTCGATCAATAACGCCTTTAGTCTGCTGAACGTGAAACACTGTTTCTTTGAGTTCAAGAATATATTGGACCACAAAAAGTGTTTTACTCTCTAAAATAATCGCTACACTTTTGAAGAACGGTTAAGACACAGCTTCCTATAGTTTGATAATACTGAGGAAGGAAGGAAAAACAGTCAACTAGACAGCAATCGCTCTCTGTGTCTCCTTTAACCTCGGAATACTTCAGAACTTCCTGGTATTAAGTGTAGACAAACAAAAACCCCTATTAGAAGTGGATGGGGCGCGATTCGTCACGACCAAGCACAATGAAAATGCGGTGATTTACGCTTTGAACTTTTTCATCCATCGGCTGCAGCAGCGTGCTGGACTCGAAAGGGAAGAGAGAGAGAGGGAACGAGGTAGCGACCAAATACAGATAACAGTTAATAATTACAGTTTGATGGCTGTGGAAAATGGGGAATTAATTTCAAACTGTTTTGTATCATTTTATCTGTTTCGGGGTAGAATGATTAAAGCGACAGGCGGATGTAGGTCGAAATAAATCCCGTGCTACCGGGTGTTTAATTTTAAATAATCTGACGTAGACGCTCTGTTGTACCCGAGCAAAAAGGATCAAACTAAAAAGCTAAAGCAAAATATATGTGTAGATGCAAATATCAATTAGTATGAAGAAAATCAATAGTATCTTGCTCATATATCTTTAACCCCCCTTTCTCCATACCTTTTCCAGTTCAACACCTCAATAGGTCGAATCAGAAGTGGGATGTACAAAACTTTTGATAAAAAAAAGAATTACATTTGCTTTGGTATAGTGTATAGTGCCTTAGCATCATGATTATTCAATTTTTTAGAAATATTGCTACACTTTTGAATTCGTAGCATCAACAATCGTTTTTTCATTATTCTGGTGTTTGTACAAATGACGTGATAGTTGTTCATTTCATTGTCGCATCATTTGGACAATTTAGATCTCTATAAAAGTCCGTTCCATTCTTTGTCTATTATTTACACGATTTTTATTTAAACGGGAACAGTAACGAATTCCAGCTGGCATTTTTCAGTCCCGGAGCATTGTCTGGTAAACAAAGAGTCACTCACCTGCCGTGGTGGGGTCCGACGCTGCCCGAGTCGTAAGCGGAGCTCGCGGATATGGCGGTATCCTTAATCCTGCCGGATTCCATCCCCAAGGGCGACACACAGGACGCTGAAACACAAAAAAGGGCCTTAATGAGGTGCCATTTATTCAGCAGGGGGAAGGTATCCGATCGAGACCGGGCGGACGCAAGGCAGTTTGCCGACGTCGTGGGGGCGCCCTGAGAGGCATTTTTGGACGGGAGTCGGCAAAGGCCTAGTATCGATTTGTACGGGATGTTTTTTCGACACTCGACGTGTCTAATAAATGATGAAGTGTTGGAAATTGTATTTAATCGTAGTAGGGCAGGTAAATGGGGTTTCACCTTGAATTTCCATTATTTATTTAATTCCTCTTTTAATTCAACGCCAAACAAATTCGAAACGGCAATAATAGACCTATCGAAATAGCTCATTTAGAGGGAAAAAAAGAAAATTGTTACCTGGCGGAGGGTTGATTTGGGGGGTTGAAAAGTTGTGGAAAATTGTAACATTATTATTTCTGGCGAAAGTTGACGTCTAACAAAAAAGTATCCAGTACAAAAGTTGTAGATCATGCAAAAATGTACAACTTTTGTAGAGGTCACTTTTTAAGATAACCTCAAAATTTACTAGAAAAATGTGAAAAACAGTTTTTTTTCTGATTTTTCGTTTTATTTCTCATTTCCGCAAAAATAATTTTATTTTGACGAAACTTGGTGAAAGTATACCTTTCTGTGTCTTAAATAACCACAATTTTTTTTAGATAAAAAAAATCAAGAAATTTCCGAGATATTCATTTTTTTGGTGAAATAAAAAAAATCTGTAAACGCAGTTCAAAAACATGCTCAAAAATGCAAAAAAAATAAAAAATGATTTGTAACAATGAATTTTTCAGTAATTGTTGATAATTTGTTTAAATTTAAAAAAAAATTCAAAAACTGATTACACCATTTAATAGTACGGAAAAAATACAAAAAAAAACTCTCATTGCTTGAGCCAAAACTTTATTTTTGTACAGTATTGCTATAAACATAAATAAAATAAATAATAGTTTTTTTTCCGTTGTATCGATTAATGTACATATATTTTTTTTAATTTTGGTGAATTTATACATATACAGTGTGTCCAAGAAATGGATGGGATAGCATTAGGATCTAGGGAACGTAAGAGATACGGGAGGCTCAGATTAGAAAAATGTTGATTTTTTTACCTAACAATATGCCGTTTAGTTTTAAAATTCCGGGTAATTCCGGAAAAACCCGAAATTTTGCAAAATTGTTTAATTTTTTTCTGGCTTTATTTGAATACGAATTACATACAATACAGTGCCACTTTTTTCGCCTTATACAATGGCGTTAACATTTTTGCAATCCAACATTTCGTCTTTGAGGGGTCATCCTCAGGTTACTTTTTTAAATACGTCGCTACTATTTTTACGTTAAAACAAATAGTCATTTTTAATTCTGAATTAGATGATATTACTATTGCAATTGTTGCAAAAAGTTTTTAGTTTGTTTTAGCTATCATTTAAAATTTTTCCTGAGTACGGCTCTGAACGCTTTGAAAATATCTATTGGATGAAGTCATAACAGTATAAAAGTCAATATCGCAGAAAATATCCAACAAATTTTTTTACTACTATTGACTACTAATAAAACATTTCATAAATTCGTGTTATTTTTTTTATTAGGTACAACTTTTTAAATTATTGATTAAAAAAAAATGTTGGATATTTTGTGCTGTATTGACTTTTATATTGTTATGACTTCCTCCAATAGATTTTTTTTATTAATTCGACTTAGATGTTTATAACAATACTGTACAAAAATAAAGTTTTGGGTCAAACAATGACAGTTTTTAAAAAAAATTTTTAATTTAAACAAATCCACAATTACTGAAAAATTCATTGTTGCAAGTCATTTTTTATTTTTTGCAATTTTGAACTGTGATCACAGATTTTTTTATTTCACCAAAAAATGTATGTCAAAACGGAAAAAATGATCGCCGGCAGAACTCTGTACGATGATTTTTTAAGTAAAATTTTTCTTTGAAAAAAAGTGTTTCGGACCGGAAAAAATGAATATCTCGGAAACTTCTTGATTTTTTTAACTAAAAATATGTACGGTTATTTAAGACACAAAAAGGTATACTTTCACCAAGTTTCGTCAAAATTAAATTATTTTTGAGGAAATGAGAAATAAAAAACGAATAATCAGAAAAAAACTGTTTTTCGCATTTTTCTCGGAAATTTTGAGGTTACCTTATAAAGTGGCTTCTACAAAAGCTGTAGATTTTTGCATGATCTACAACTTTTGTATCGGATACTTTTTTGTTTGACGTCAACTTTCGCCAGAAATCCCAATGACACAATTTTTCAGAACTTTTCAACCCCCCAATCAACCCTCCGCCACCCCTGCTCCCGCATTTATTTTTTTAGGTTTATTATAAGCCCTTTTACCATTTCCACTTATAAAAGTCGAGGTAACAATTTTTTTTTTCTCCAAGCAAATTTAGTTGAACTATAAACAAAGTCAAACATTTCTTATATTTAATATTTGACTGGGCCCAAATTCAATCCCGAGTTCTGCTGGGGTTGGCAGCGTGGCACGCCGCTGTTATCTCAAAGGATAGTAAACCCGGAGTTAACAGTTTCCCAGTGTTTAACAACGTCCCGATAAGATCACGTTCGCACAGTGAAATGGCTAGTTGTCCCATCAGGTTCGGAAGATTACCATTAGCATGGCAGTAACGAATGTTTACCCCCATCGGTCTCGATGATCCCCCCAGGATCAGCCAGTCAACATCGACCACCGCGCTCTCCCTCAAACACGTAGGGCAATTTTTCAGCCAATTTGATCTCGGTAAATGTTAGGCCTAAGCGCAAAATCTCTCACAATTACGGTTAAGTGCTATTAAATGAAATAATACATATTTTCAAGATAAATAAGTACATGATGTTCTGTTTAAAGCCCCCAGTTCGATATTTCGGAAACAAAAAGATATTTATTTATTTACTTATTTAAAAAATCCAACAGGACAAAGTCTCAATTAAACAAACAATTTATTTGTGTTATTCATAGAGTGAAAAAATATATCAAGTCGATTTTCATACTTTGTGGAAATTATTTGGTATAGATAAAGACTATTAAAATCAAAACAAGGAAAACAGAATTGGTTATTAAACAAATATGTTCGTCATAAGACAATTTAGCTTCAAATACAATGCTGGAGGAGATCCGGAACATTTTCAAAATTGCAAAAATGTTTAAAAAATTTAAAAAAATACTTATTTTATCTGAGTTTTTTACTTATATCTTGCATTTGCATATGCATTTTGGAAGATTATTGAAGAGAAAAAAAAGTTTTAGAATTGAATTTTGCACAAAACACTGAAAGTTAAAAATGAATGTTTAAATTTATTACCGATGTTGCAAAATAGCAATAATTGATGAAAAAAAGGCAAATTAATCAAGTTTTTTGGATAATTTTTTAAAAATATTTTAATTGCTTTGAGTACATTCTAATTTTGGTAAAAAAAATTAAGAGTATAATAAAACGACACACTAAATTTCATTAAAATCGGTCAGATAGTTTTCGCAAATTAATTTTTTGAAAAAAATGTTGAAAAAAAGTTTTCGAATTTTCAAAATGTTGCACAGCCTCAAATAAAGCATCTAGATACTTGAAAATTTCTGTTTCTGTACAAACTGGCATGAGTGAAATAAGGTTTAAACAAAAATAACTGTTATATAAAATGACGCATCGCAAATTTTGTTGCACTTTTTTATCTGTACAGCGACTGTATCGTCCAGATGCAGTGATTACGTATTATATAAGCTTCAAAACCTCCAAACACTAACGAAGCCCTAATAAATTACCCCCTCATCCCCCATTTGTCTTGCGGACCTAATCTGGACGGGACAAAAACTTCCGAGTAGTTCCGGATTAGTTCTTGCCGGTTCTTATTGGCCGACTTCTTCGGCTTTGTTTAATTATCGCCGTAAAAGGCCGGCCATAATTAATATCTGCCATGACCTGGCCGAAAGTGCAGGAAAATGCGGGAAAAACAGCGGGCGCGGTTGGTGTTTTATCGAGAAACTACGCTGGAGAGAAAGGGTGGGTGGACTTTCTTGTCTTGAGAGTTTCAAACGAAAAGTTCAAGGGGTTGGTTCGCAAAAAACTACACCTCTGAATGTGCGGTATTTACTTTAGGTACAAAGTTTGTTATGAATTTTTAGTTATTAGTGGAATGTTTAGCTCTGTTTAACCTAATTTGTTTGATAGGACTGAAAATTAAAACCTGGCGTTTTAATCGATTCAGAGAAGCTACAAGATATAGGAATGTTCCAAGGGTGTTATGTGGATAATAATCAGCCGAGGTCGTCAGGGCATTATTATCCTATAACACCCGTGGTGTCCCCAGTGTCATACTAAGACTAGTGTCAGTTTGTAGGATCGTCCGTTTATTAATTGAATTCAAAATACATAACATTCCCTGCACGAGAATTTTTTAAAACAGCTTGATGTAAAAGATGAAAAACATTTAATGCAACATCCATTAAATCGCTGCAAACAATCGTACAATGGTACTCACCTGCCTTTTATACAGCTAAAAACTGTATTACATTCAGCAGGGGCAATTTATCACCACGGCTAAGTCCATATAAAAATAGTTTATCGGAAAACCGTTCTTTAATTCGGACTCGGTGCACAACTTTAAAATTCTCCTTGCATATACGTCACTCAACCTCGGCTGGTGCGGCCTTTGAAGCCAGATCCGGCCGCATCTCCCAGGAGAGACGTACAGCGATTTATCTTTTAAAAAAGACTGGTCTCCTGGACACGGTGAATGGGAAGACGACTGTCTACTTGGGTAAGAACAAGTGGAAAGTTTGTAATTACCCGGATTGGGTGAAGTGAACTTACAGAAATAGTCAAGCGGATATTTATATCTTCCATTCTAGCAGTGATTAGCTCCAAAGTCAAAAATTGTATGGTGTTATAATGAAGTAACCGAATAATTATGCTTTACTTTCTTTTCTGTGCAGATTCGTTCACTTGGGGTCCCAATACATGGCTTGGAATAGGTCT